TTTAACCAGAATGGATTGTGAATATGGGCTTTCCACTTCAACTAATTTACAGAACATTGGGCACCTGGTATTTACACTGAGTGCAGTGGCATGGTATCGAAGTTATACTCAATAGTTATACCAAGTGGTATTTAATTATTCTTTTCATTGAATACTATGATAAATTTATTTGAGGGAAAAATGCAAGATTCAGTGACAAAAAAAAAAAACCCATTTTTATTTCTGAGGAACATGGTTGAGAGCCCGTGAGTGGTGAGAAAATCAAATTATTTTCATTTGCTTGCAAGCCAACTTTGTGTAGTGCAGAAAGAAAAGTGTGTGGGGACTATCTCAGTTTGGCTTTGATGATATTGTGAGATATTGAGTCCCCTAAACTCCAGGTCAAATAAAAATTCAAGATAACCTTGCAGGTAAGCTTGCAGTATCATGCCCTTTATTTGCCAGAATGTAGGGCCTGATACTATAGTGCTGACAAAAATGGCTCTAAAAGAAGCTGGTGTAATAATAAGTGTCCCGTAGTCTTGCTTTATCTGGACTKTGGTCCCTAGTCATTTTTGTATATTAATCATAGGTTTGGGTTCCACTGATGGGTATCTGCTCAGCATCTTTCAGATGGTGCATCTATAGAATGGGGCTGATCTCAACACCTATGGCAAGAGCAGAAAATCCATCATTCTAGATGACACTGACCTCAGCTTTCAAGTTAATTTGGGTGTGATATTTGTGAAGACGTGGTCTCTCCTGGTTGCAGTGACTAACCAAGGTGATCTGCAGTGGAATATTAGGGCCTTGTTTTATAAAATTGCAATTTTGATGTAATGCTTTATGCTTGTCAAATCAGATAAAGGGTCACTGGTCTACAGCTCTGTAGAAATGGAAGTTTTCTTAGCTTAGACATCACCAAACTATCCCAAAAGACAGAACCAGATCCAACAAGRAATTAGGGTTACAGCTGAAAGCTGAGCTGTTTGACAGACAATAAGACAAACCTTGATCTTTTTTCTCTGTAATCTTTTAATGGGCAAAAGAAAACTGTTTTCTTTTCCCGTCAGGCAATTTGCATCCAGGATTCAAAAGAGGGAGTAGTGACTGGGTGACCTTGACTTGCATAGAACAAAGCTTCAGAGTTAAAGTGTTCCTAGTAAGTCTGGCTGGTCTTTTGACAATACTCTTGTATTGCTTTGGGTTACCCAGAGTCCCCAGAGACAGATTTATTCTGTGCTGTAATTGCAAATGCCTACGTAAGGTGGCAATCAGACAGAATCATAACTAATTGCAATGATTAAAGTGTTAATTCTGAAATATCTCACTAATATATACAGTTTTCATGTTTCTATCCAGTAAGCAAGATAAATCTGTAAACAGGAACTTCAGTGCACATCAGTCTTGTTGACTAAAGATCATGTTTTGGGAGTTTGCTATTATGTGAAGAAAATTACTTAGTAGAATAATGGTTTTGAAGTAGCATAGAGGTCTGGCATACTTTGGATTAATGKGCTTGTTTTGTATACATTAAAATGGGGTCTCATATTATGGAACCAGGGTTAGGTGCACTAATGAGGACAATCTGTACATGATATCCATCGAGGCGCTTAATTTTGGACACCARTGAAGAGATGTGCCTGGCAGTTGTGGATGAATGTTTGTACAGAGCCTGCACATGTATAATATTTCTGCTCATCTAATTCACACATGGKCATGTTTGAAAATAAACCCATATATCGTTTTCCTTCTTTTAGCAGAACTAGAGTGAYTTTCATTCAAATGCCACTGAAGCCCAGTTGCACTGGAAGACAGAGCAGTGTTCAAGCTGTCAACAAAGAAGACTGATGTTGGTCATAAGTCCCTATTATCTGACAATCCTGACATGGGCTTGAGTTGAGATGCAGCTGTGATCAATGCTGCTTAACTGTGCTGTTACCTGATGGTTCATCTACATGTGGTAGAACAGAGACCAGATTAAGCTGAAAAGGACTTATAAATGTGGTTGCTACCTGTGACTGACAAACAAAGCATCAGCTCTGGATGACGCATTATTTATTTGTACATAAGTGCAGCCCCCAGAGCAGCTGTGACAGTGCAGCAATGATTGTGCCAGAGCCTGAAGCTGCACATACTGCAGACCTAGAGAAGAGAAAAGCTGTGTGATACACATCCTAACACTGCCTCTCATCCCAGCAAATCTAGCTGATTACTGACATTCTGACTTTTTATTAGATGGCTGTGCATCACCATTGCACAAGCATCCTTTAAAGTTTCGTATCCCAATTTCTAGGCTTATTGTTTTCTTACAAGTCACTGCTACTGAAAGTTGTACTGTATTACAGCTGGCCAACTCATACATTCCTATGGCATGTGAAGATCTGAGCTTGTACTTCCCAAATATTTTTCACACTGTAATGAAATGAAAGTCTTTGAAATAGGSAAGAGACACACAGCCTTGCTCTAGGCTGGCCAGAAGTGATGCCCTCCCATGGTATTGTTGGGGACCCCAGTTTTGTACGTGCTTCACCTTACATGGAACAGAATCTCAGATTCCAGGTGAGCATCCTTATTCCCACAGTATACCACTCCAAAGAGCACCTTAACTCTGATTAAAATGGAGAGTTCATTTCTTCCCTGTCTTTTTCTCCTTCAGACTGRACAGCAGTGTCCCTCAAGAGCTATTACACACTGCTGTGATACAGCTGGCCTGTATAGCAGGAGGATGTTGACACAAAAATGAGCCTGTGAATGTCCTACTGCTAAAACTGCCTTATTTTTTTTTAATTTGAAAAGAAGGTCAAAATATGACTGTTATGGCAAGAATGAATGAATAGATCTGAATTCTCTTTGTCTGTCTACTTAAAAACTTCATTACCTGCTGTCTTTTTTATTTATTTCTTTTTTATCAAATTATGTTTCTAAAGCTAAAGTATGTTGAATGCCTGGAAGCATTTCTGTTGTCAGTGAGAACCTCTGTTAACATGACTCAATCCCTTGTAAATGCAGACATGCACTCAGCAAATTTGATAAGCCCTGAGATGAATTTAGATGCACAAAAAATCGTGAAGCAGCCTAATCCTTTCTACAGAAAATAATGTTTAAACAAATTTATTTCATTCAATGAAACACCTGGCCAAGCTTATTTAATATAGTCTTTGCATTTAATTATCCCCTCTGAAGGGGCACTTGCCATATTTTGAAATATGATTATTTTCTTCGATATTAATTACTTTAAGATCCTCAAAGGAAACTGGGAGAGAAATAAAAAAAAGGGTCTTAATTAACCTGAGCCACCAAAAGTCATCTTTCTGGAATAGGGAAGATGGGATATGGAACTGAAAATAAATAGTACTTTAAAAATCGTGAATAATGAAGAATAGCTGTTGAAACCTGAAAAGAATTCTGTATGAAGGAGTTGTTGCTAGGCATTAATATCAGAAAGGCACACTTCTACATTAAACTGTCTCACAGAGGAAAGACAGTAATGGAAAAAAAATATTTCTGCAAAGAAATCAATATGGACAGAATTACTGGCAGAAGTCAAAGAAGTGCAAAATTATGATGTACTTAGAGAACAACACAGCCCAGAGTCAGCATCTTCAGTTCTTTTCTTCCCTCATTTTGGTCTTGTGGTTATGGCATAAAGAAAGCTATTCCTTTTGGGAAGAATTTATTCCACAATATATTTCTGGCAAGTAGTTTTACTAAAAGTAGTATCACTGCATAATTCTATTACTCCTGCCCTTGCAGGAAAGAATGCTGCATGTGAGAACAGCAGACCCTATTCTCACTGCCACAACTGGAACTGCAAGAGAAATGGGGTTTGGATGTTCTTATTCTAGACAGCAAATTAATGCACCATGGCAACTTTTGCATGACTAATTAGATCACTGGGGGGTTTTGCTTCATCATTACTACATGAAAGGATATTTGCTATGTGGGTTTGCACACGACAAGTGTTATTGTCTATATGGAYCTTCTAAAAGTTGATTTGGTTGCGTAGACACAAGCAAGAGGGAATTGTGCACGTTTTAGGCAATTATTTAGTGTTGTACTTCTAGGTTACTCTTCTTTAATCATTTAATGGTACTTTTCTACTTGAAAGTCTAAATGCAGTCTTGCTGTGGAAGCTGTGGAYRTCCCATCCCTGGAACTCATCCAGGTTGGATGAGCCTTTGAAGTGCAAGGTATACCTGTTCGTGGCAGGGGTGTCGGAACTAGATTACTTTTAAGGTCCCTTCCAGATGAAGCCATTCTGATTCTATGAGACCCATATTCGTCTCCTCTGTAAGGAGGAGTGAGTTCAGTATGTCAGTGAGTTCAGTATGTCAATCCTCTCTCTGAAATCATCCTTTGAATATGTTGTCACAATATTTACATACAGTGCCTTTAAACATGGAAGTGTATGGAAAGCAGAGTCTGTAAGGTCTCAAATCAGGGAGAGCTCAGAGCTGTGCTCTCCTAAAAGTGGTGGCAGGGCCAGAAGATGTCAGGTGTGCCAGCAGGCCGGGTGCTAAGGTGGGCTCCTTGTCTAACATGCTGTGTGGCTACCTGGTGGCTGATCATCTGCTGTCCGAGGCCTCTGCACCTGAACCACAGAATCAGTCAGGCTGGAAAAAACCTCTGAGATCACTGAGTCAAATCTATGACCGAACCACCACTAAGCACTAAGCATCATGTCCAGTCTTTCCTTAAACCCCAACCAGGTATGATGACTCCACCACCTCTTTGGGCAGCTCATCCCAACGTCTAGAAACCCTTTGTGTTATGAAATTCTTCSTAATGTCCAGCTTAAAGCAGCTTTAGGGTGTGTCCTGTTGTCCCGTCCTGGTTGCCTGGGAGAAGAGGCCGGCCCCACCTGGCTCCAAGCTCCTTTCAGGGAGGGTGATAAGGTCACCCCGAGGCTCCTGTGGGCCGCCCGGCCCTGCCCGCGCTCGGTGACCCGCTGAGGGCACTGAGGGCACTGAGGGGCCAGCCGCCGCCATACGGCACAGGGGGCGGCGGGGCGGGGGAGGAGGAGGAGGAGAAGGAGGAGTGGGACCGGACTGAGAGGGTAAAAGCGACGGGAGCGTGAAGGAGCGGGGCTGCAGGGGAGCGAGCGGAGCGCGGGCGGCCGCGGGCGGGAGCGGAGCGGAGCGGGACGAGCTGCCCGAGGCYGGGGCTGCCCTGCCGGGCCATGGCGCGCCGGGACGGCGGCGGGACGGGGCTGCCGCGGCTGTGGCTGCTGCTCGGGCTGTGGCTGTGGGCGCTGAGCCCCGGCCCGGCCGCCGCCTGYAGCCCGCGCTGCCGGCACGGCGGGCTCTGCCTCGGCGACGGCTCCTGCCTGTGCTCCAAGGGCTACGAGGGGCAGCGCTGCCAGCACGGTAACGGCGGGGCGGGACACAAACAGTGCGGTCACTCTCTCGTGTCATCCCTCCGGGAATAGTCCCTCCGGGAAGGTGTGAGAACTCTGGTTTGGGTCTGGGCTGAGAGGCGGGTGGTGAGGTGCCGGGGAGGACCTAAAAAAGGCGAGTTGGAAGGAGAGTTAAGACGCCCTTTGTAAGATGAGGCAGTGCTAGCAAACTGATGGAGCACAGCCAAAAGCCAGCGGGAAGACCTCACGCAGGTGAGCGCACCCTGCGGGTTCCTAGAGAGCTTTTTGTCACTTGGACTTTGGGTAAGATGCAAGGCGTTTCATTCCTTCTATTGCTTTAACTKTGCGTGCTTAAACGCTTCCCTGGAAGTGTTTAAGGAGTCACAGAATCAGTCAGGTTGGAAGGGGCCACAGTGGGTCATCTGGTCCMGTATCCCTGCCCAAACAGGTTCTTTCAAACATCCTAGAGCATATGGTACAGGATTGCATTCAGATCGTTCTTGAATGCTTTAGAGTCTTGACAGCTTTCTATGCCTCAGCAACATTTAACTAATATTTCTAGGTGCAATTAGTTCAGGATAGCATTAACAAAAAGATCAAAAGAGTGTGTAGAAAGTATGTTATTTTCTGGATTTCCTTTTATTTAGAATATSTTATGCTTTTAAAAGTACTGTCGTTTACTTGGATGTTATCTGACCCACAGAGTCATTTGTATGTCCCATTTCAACATCAGGAGGAGTAAAGCTAGGGTGAATTGGAGTTCCTGTTGGTTTCCTTGGAGAGACAAAGTATTTTTGAAAATGCCACATAATATACAAGAGCAAACATCGTGGAGGAGAGTTCTGGTTTAAATCCTCTTCAAYTTAATATGTTAGATTTTTAAATCTCTTGTTTAAAAGTTTAACTAGAGCTTGTGGCTATTGCTAAAAAAATCACTCACTGTCMGTAGTTCCTTTGCATTGCACATTGTCCTATGTGAAGTGTCCAATATTTGCTCTACTTTTCAATGTCTCATTTAAAATATGTTGGACTTTAAGTCTGAGATGGGATGCTGAAAATTTCGTTCAGCGCTGTAATCATTCTTGGAGAGTTGTTTCATTTAGAGGCTGAGGCTAGCAGGTGGTGACAAATGATGTATAGCTAATGTGCTGTGTAGTGGAAATTAAAAACTATGCTGTATGAACTGTTCCAAACAACAGTTAGTTCCCAGACATTTTGGGGTGTAGGGCAGAGGTGAAATWTTTTTGGAGATGCAGATCAGTTCTTGAACTATAGAGATGAACTGCCTGGAATTGTTAGGGAAACGGCTGAATCCTTGTGCTCATAAGGTTGTCAGTGTAAYAGCTGGGTAAATGAAGCCTCATCCCTTGTTCAGTCAAGAAAACTGAACTGAAAACTGTGTCACAGAAAAATGACTGAAAAATGACACAGAAATAGAATTTTTCTTAAATTGGAAGTTCTTGTATGGCACTTCCAAAGAACTGAGCATCTGGTAAAAGTTAGGGAGAGCTGAGCACTGGCTTRTTCTTTCACATGTCTCTGTCCTTTATTTGCCTGCTAACACTCATTCTGCAGGTACTAATGTGAAAAGTCCTCTATTCTTTCATTGGGCTGCTTGAGAGTGCTATAAATATATGAGGACAAAATCAGSGTGGTGTTACTCACTGCTCATCTTTGCCCTTTTCTTTCCTCTGTTTCATACTTTTCATAYTGGACCCATCTCGTCAAAGGATAATTAGAGAACTCATCTCACAGAAGCAGCTAATTCAGATGAGACTCCCAGAAAATCACCTAAAATCTGTATGTGAATAAACAAGTGTTTTCTCAGACAGCAGTGTGGATTCAGGGATGATAGCAAAGAGTCTATGTAATAGGTAATTTATTTACAATCTGATTGTACATATCCAGAATTTTGCAAAATTGAGATTTTTATTTGAACCTTACCCAACCAGTCCAAGTTGTCAACAATTAAAAAGTTGCAGGCTCTGTGATGATCCTAGATGCTTTTCTCCCAGCAGATAATTACAGTTATGAGAAAAGTTACATTTATGTTTCTTGGATGGTTGCTAAACAAACACTTTATGTTCAGAAAGGTCTCTGAAAAGCCAGCTGAATGGAAAAAAAAAAAAAAGCATGGGAGAGAAGGAGATCCTGACTTACTTCAGGAAACATTTTGGAGAAGAAATATAAGGAATGGAGCATGTAGTTTTTCTGAAGAAAAAAGTAGGAATCCAGTAAAGAGTAAAAAAGTTTGATATTTTATCTTAAGAATCACAAGATGCCTCTCCAGTTGCAGCATCTTTTTATTAAAWAATTTCTTCTTATCACCTATTTTCTCACCTGTCATTTCTCCAYTTCAGTTATCAAAAGCTTTTTGGCAGTCCAGCTGTGTTTCTTTTTAATATGGTTCTTTTTTCTGCCTCTTCTGTCTGGGCCCAAAGCATTCCTTAGTTTAGAGAGCTMAAAATCTTAGTATGGTGGAGTGTTCCCCTTTCGGGGAAATAATTTCACCTTATCAGCAATGTAAGATGATATGGCAGATACATCTTAGAAAATATGAACGCAAAGTGATGAAAATATAATCATGTGCAAATTTCTTACATATTTAAGTAGTAATTTTGTTAAGATTCACCAATATTTATCCAACCTTTCTTCTGTTGTCTATCTTGCAGCTACATGTTATCCAAAATGCAAAAATGGTGGAGAATGCCTCCAACCTGGAAAATGCAGATGTCCACCTGGGTATGGGGGCAGATACTGTCATAAAGGTAAGGCCCATGCAAGCGGTGGCTTGGAAAGACAAGGAGTTTGAAAACAGACAAAATTCATTTGGGACTCCTCAAGTCCTGGATCTAATGCATTTTGAAATAATKACCTTAATTCTGTAAATCTCTGACCTTGCTGTCAAAACGCTGTCAAAACATGCATGGAYTAGAGGATTTGCATGCTTGCAGGAGGATGGGATGGAGTGCATGTACTGAAAGGTGACAATCTGAGTGAGTTTTTTTCCCTTGGAAAACACCCTGTTTATGTGCTACATACTCTACTTATCTCTATAACAGATTCTTTCTAAATAACTTACTGAGATGTTTTTATAGGTACGTATTTCTGCATTAAGTGGTTGAAACTTTTATGTTGTGGTTTTTTTGTGTTGTGCAAGATGAGGGCCACTGAAGATAYGTGTGGCAATGTATTGTTGAGAGGCAATGGGAGATGACAGATAAGCAGTAGCAAAGAGCAATTTTTATGATTTTGGGAAGCCTGTCAAATATATGCATGGATTGGAAAAGCCAATCCAAGAAAACACTGTTACATTGTACATGTACAAACTTGTGCTGTAAATCAATGCACTTTTATAGAATCTCACTGATATAGAATTACAGACTGGGCAAGGCTAGAGGGGACCTCTGAAGGCCATCATTTCCCAGCAGGGCTACCTAGAGACAGCTGCTGAGGGCCATGCCTAGATGGCTTTTGAATATCTCTGAGGACTCCACAAATCCCAGGGCAATCTGTACCAGTGTTTGGTCACCCTCACTGTGCAGACCTGATGATGATTTTCTTGTTCTTGATGTGGCTGGAAATGGTTTTCAGGATGAATTCTTGTGTTACCTCACCAGGGACTGAGGTGAGGCAGACCAGCCCGTAGTTCCCTGGGTCCCCCTTGCCCTTSTAGAAGACTGTAGTGATACTTGCTTTCATTTAGTTGTCATGCACTTGTCTCTGTCACCAGGATTGATCAAATACAATTAATATTAAATACATTAACTTATATTGTGTGACAAAGTAATACGCAAACAAGCTTTGAAGAGCTTTTCCTGCTGTGCTGGATTTGACTTCTTGTACGTCCTTGCATGTTCAGTATTTGTGCCAAAAATCTGTTAGCTGAAATKGGGCTCAAAACTTGTGGTTGAACAAGGGATTTGGACATTTTTTTCTACCAATTATCAAGCAAACATCCAAACTGTCCATCTTTATAATGAAGGATGGTTATTTCTCTTCAATACTGTGAAGGTGGTATATAATATACATTCATGCTTGTGAAAGGAAGCATTTGATTGCACAGACCAGTGATTGTGCTACTTTTCAAAGTTAGTGCTCACTGCAGTTGATACCAATCATATGTCTGGCTTAAATAACGCTTCATTAAAGAGGCCTTTGGGACTTTGATGTGTAGAACAATCCTGAAATGAGGAGGCTATCTTAAATATTTAGCCTGTGGGAAGGCACTGCTTAACTTTAGTCATGGTTTCATTTGTCTAAGTAATATTCTCCTCTTCCTCKTGTTTCATGTAGGTCCTCTCAGGTAAGGCAATAGATGAATCCTTTACCACGTTATTGGCTTACCAGCTGTGATTTGGCAAGTTTGATGTGAATATGCACGTTAGTAGTTCCTGTGGTGTAGCTGCTGAACAGTGGTGTTACTGGTGCAAAATTGGCTAACATTTGGGGAAGGAAGAGGCTGTGCCATAGCAACAATACACTCAGGCTAAATGCTCCATGAGCTTTTAAGCACATGCTTGATTTTAACTGCTTTTTGAGGTGTTCTATCATCCTCACTCAGTCCATACAGAACAGTGCCTTGCTCTGAACGATTGAAGTTTTAGTCTCTGCAAATGTGATAAAACAAGTAGTTAATGCCAGACCAGGTGTTTAAAGACAATTATTTTGAGTCTATGCTGCTTCTCAAWTGCACGCTGTATGCTGTCTTCCACAGTAAGCTGTGAAGGAGGCTGTCAGAATGGGGGGGAATGCGTCTCTGTCAATGGAGTGGTGAAGTGCCTTTGTGCTCCTGGCTGGACAGGATCAAGGTGCCAGGAAGGTGGGTATCTACATTGATGAAAATATTTATATTGTTCAATACTAAATTTGCAGTAACAAAAACATTTAAAAAGTGTCAAAAGACTAGTAAGTATGGAAATGTCATTGCATTATTACAGAAATAAATGACCTACATTATAGGTAAATAGATAAAATAGTGTGAAATTATTTTGCGTTAAGATGTACATCTGTTCCTATTCAAACCAAGATTCATAACACAGTACATATATTTGATTATTTTCATTTACATGGTCCTGGAAATGCTTTTGGAGTTTTACCAGTTGAATATCTGGCCTAGAAGAAAATGTGTTTTGCCATTTTGACTTGTATCATCCTGAATCTTTCAATTCTGTCAGGATGCTTTTACATCAGTTTTATAAATCCTGCTGACTTACCCCTTCTTTTTCTTGTAGCAATTTGTCCTCAAGGTTGTCGGAATAACGGAGCTTGTGTGGCTCCTGGGATTTGTAGCTGTCCAGCTGGATGGGTTGGTAGAGCGTGTCACTTAGGTAAATGGCTTCTGACATTTTTCGTTATTCTTTCCTCTGCTTGTTTGATTTACCAAWCAAAGTGTTCAAATCTTCAGTGCCTAACAAAGCTTCTAGGGARGTATCTTAGAATAACTTGAGAGCTGCTTTCACATACTAGGGCTCTTACATGTATGCATAAAGAGTAGATGGCTGTTCACTTTGGTCATAAACACAGAACTTCTCCACTTGGAAAGAGATTCAGATTTTGGTTGTCACCAAATTAATTACCTGGTATGTCTTGTAAACCAAAAATTACAGAAACATTATTGCTACTGGTGTGGGTCAGAAGCTTCATTAAATTTCATAGACATGAAAAATTGACACCTTTTTTCTTACTTTGTGAAYAAGCTGACAGAATCAACTCCAGGTGTTCTTAGAATGCTGAGTAAGAGAACGCTATCTGTAATCAGGATTAGTACTGACACTCTTGCTGAACAACCACTTCCATTTTCACAAACTTTGATTCACAAAAGCAGGTGATTATAAAGTCTTTAATCTATCCTTCTTGGGCCTTGTATGCTTGTAACTGCACTGCCCTGATGCTAAAGGCAATAATCCYGAGACTACAAAAGGAAAGGGTTTTTTGTTTGCTATCTGGGAGACTGAAGAAAAGCTCGKGTAAACATTGGTTTTGAACTGATCTCCAGATTAAGTCCTGTGCATCTGATATTTTGGCATGSCTGTGGGAATCTAAATCAGGTAGTGTTAGTTCTTCTACTATGTATAKGGTCAAGACAACATTAACAAGTAATATTTTGATGTTCCCATGGATCAAAATACTTGTCTTTTATATTCATCAGTATATTGAGATAGAGGGTGATATTAAAAGCCAAGTGTGGGAGTTGCAGAGAATTTAGAGAATGCTTAGCTCCATTCCCTGCAGCTGCGGTCATGGTGAAAGTGTTCAGATTCTTAATGATAAAATAATCACTGTTCCCACACTAACTAGATCTGTACCAAGTTTGACTTCTTTTGGTGTAGATGCTTATCAATAAATTGCAGCCCCTGGCTTGTCAACTGAACTGGTGGGTAGCAGGGGACAGCTGAAGCTGTGCCCTTGTGGGGGATGAGGAGGGCAGTGTGTGAGACACTGCTTGGGTATGGTGACTGTTTCCTCATGGGTGGGGATCTAAGAATTGTCTTGAAGAAGATTCAGCAGGAATTCTTACTGTTCTCTCACTTTTATGGGGGCATCCATCTCAAAAAAAGCTTGTGTCTTATAGAATAGAAGTTACAGTATTTTAAAAGGGAAATGAAGCATGAATAAGACTAGACATACTGTTCCTGTATTCCAGTGAAGGCCACARTGCCATAAATTGAGAGGCATTGCTTTTCAGTTCTTCCATTATGCTTGTATTTATACTGTCCCAGTGCAGTCACCAGGGAACAATTCTGCTACCACAGTGAGACAAAGAAGAAAAATGATCCTGTTYTGTGCTGAAGACATACTGTGTATCTGGTGTCTCATTTCAGCTGTATGTAAGCTGCCCTGCCAACATGGAGGCAAATGCATCGCTCCAAACGTGTGTCGATGTCGGCTGCCATACTCCGGGCCGCAGTGTACAAARAAAAGGAAGGAATGAAGCAACTTCAGCTGAGATAAGCTGCATTTTTTTTTTCATCCAGCTATACAGAGAGGAAGTCTGCAGCAGTGGGGGACCTTAAAATAAACATGGTGACTTGATTTCAGATAGCTTTTTGCCCTCAATATATTAAGTAAATGCTTTTCTRTATGAAAGGGAAGTATTGCTGATTGTAGCAAAGTTGTTATAAATATCCAACTGTGTGCACTGTATGACACAGGTTTTCTTCTGTTATTTTTTTTCATAAGCAGAAATATTATGTCTTGGTTGATACAGTTGACCTTGAAATAAAATTTTTCTTCAAATCAAGTACTTCAGAATAGGTCTACGCTCTTTTTGATTTTTCTCCCCTTTGACTAGACTTACTATGTTATATAGTTACATTTAAAAAAAAGCACATGAAACAAAAAGTCTTCAATTAAGATCATAAGAAGTGAATGTTAGTTCAAGTGTAATTTGCCTTCAATGAGACTAAACAGTTGCTAGAGGAAACTTGCAGGGTTTGCATCTTTCAGGAATATTACCAAATTGCAAAGCATCTTATTTAAATCATGGTTATCACTTTACGTCTACTTCCTGCCCCTCCCCCTAATCTGTTTTGGATCTCAATCAGCTAAACAGTACTTAAGAAAACCAAAGCAACCAACCACCCCCCATACTTGTTCAGACAATTCTGCTATTACTAATGATGTTCTGCTGTTACATTCTAAAAGCTTAATCCATGCTGATACTCTGAGAGTCCTTCTCTTGACTACTTCTACAGCCATAATATCTGATCATCTCTCAACTTCCGATTATTCTGATTATCTTCCTTATCCCAGTGGGACAGGGAAATGTGATTTTCTTCTGGATACATTGATAATTCTTTTCTATTCAAGAYTGTTGTTACAGGAGCAGTATAATGTGCAGCTACAAACTGCTTGTAAGGAAAAGCTGTGCCTGTCACAAATCAGGTGTGGAGGGTGTTGAGGCWTGTCTTCTGGAGGTGTTCCTATTTGGCTTCCTTTAGGTTTTGCAGCCTTTTGAATGGGCTGCAGATTGGACTGAGACTCCTCTGTTCATATCTCATTTGTGCTGTTGCTCAAATGCTGCAGTTGAGGAAGGTTTTGCCAAAACATGCAACTCGAATCAGTCAACTTTCCAAATGATGCTCAGAGCTTTTTTTTTTTTTTTTTTTTTTTTTTTTTTTTTTTTTTTGAGATATTGATTTTCTTCCAGATGAAACTGGAATCAGTTTTTTTGGGGGGAGAATTTTAGCTATGCATTACTTTAGTCCATTTGCTGGAACAATATTTGAATTGCCTATATACTCCCGTAGCAGAACATGGAGTTCTCATGGGCAGTGACTTATACAGACCTTTTTCTCCCGGGATTAGAAACCACTGAGCAAAGAGGCAAAGGTAATGGGGTCTTCTCAGTTGCCAATCTTCTGTACAAGAGAGAACCCAAACATCCAGAGGGCAATTGAAAGGCAATGGTGTAGTTCATGAGACTCCTGTTTCTGTTATGAGCCATTGCTTGTGTGGCATAGTTGAGCTTTCTCCTGCACTTGCTTTGGAGACTGTTGTCTTTGGTTCAGAGGAAGCCTGCTACAGAGATGTTGTGAAGGATTTCTTGCAGGGGCAGGGCACAACATAGGAGTAGTGCATGGATTTTGTGCTGCTTTTGCTGAGATAACACTGGCAATTTCACACCTGCTAGTGAAAAATGTGGTCCTCATGCATGGAACAAGACTATTTCATCAGTGGTTCTGAAGCAAGTTTGATGATGATGATAATGATGATGATGATGATGATGATGAAGTTCTGTCTCACAGTCCATTACATCATGCCATAATTTAGAAATTCAGGGGTTAGGTTGAATACCTTAGGTGACATACTGGTTGCAGGGAAATGAATGGTAAAAAAAATTACTTGCACTAGACCCAAAAGCGTAAATAATCAGAACTATGTAAATACAAAAAGGCATCATATCTCAGTATTATTCTGAAARAGACTGACTTATACTAGTAAAGACAAAAGTGACAGTAATAGTGACTAGATKCTGGAAGAGATATTGGCATTGTCAGGAGCAATAGACCAGGAGCAGTCATTGAGRGACCTGTAATTGGTGTTTCTGAGCAGGCCAAACCAAATGGTAATTTAAATAGTTTCCTGTTTAGAAATGATTGAAGTAAGCAGTAATTTGATGGCACACAATGCAATGGACTGTTTTCAGAACTACTTGAGTGTAGCACCATCTACTGGCTACAGGGTATTTTTTTTTTTTGGCTACAGGGTTTGCTTTTGAGAAATATTTCTTCTTACCATTCAATGAAATCTTAAGTGAGTTTAAAAGTGATTTTTCTAGTTAGTTAGAGTAGAACAGTCTTAGAATGTATTATTAATGACAAACAGTGTCCCCAGATTATTATTTCCACAGTTCAACATACAKTCACTAAAAGAACTGTCAGTAATTCTTGTCTTTTGTTTGTTTCCTGCTCGCTAGAGGATTGAACACACTAGATACAGCATGTAATTTTTGGAGATGGATGTGTCTTCCTGTGGGGAGCTAGTCATGCGTGCAGCTCAAAGGTCAAGGAAAGCAATACAGAACATGTTAGCGCCCTTATTCTGTAGAGCTGACTGTAACACCTCATACAGATACTCTGGTTTTCACTAAAACAACTGGAAAAATTTTAGGAGTATTGCACTGGTTGCATTTTTGATAGTCTGTCTTTCTAGAGCGTGCATGGAAAAAGGAGGTCTTTCTTCTCTTAAGTTTATCTGCGGGCACTTTTATGTTTTCTGCTCTAAGTGTTTCTGGCCAAGAATGGATTTACTTGGTTTAGCTGTRAATTATCATTTATTGGCTAAACTAAGCTATAGGAAGAAGTTGAGTAAAATGACCTGATACCAGCAAGTGACACTTTTATATGACTTCTAGTCATTAGTAAAACTTTTTAACCCCTACATTTGGGTTTGTATATGTACTCAGATGCCRTGTTTTTGGAATTTAAACTTTGGCTTTTTCCATTTGGACAAATAATGAAATGTGTGTAGCCWATTTGTCAAGTAGCTTCAGTTTGTATACCTAATTACTTAGGGTTTGTGCTGATTCTTTTTCATGAGTTTGATTTTGATAAATGGAAATGTTGACTTGTCTTCTCTGCCATAAAAAGATACAATTAACTTTTTTAACAAGAAAGAGCTTTCACATTGGGGGCCACTTGTGGTTTTATTTTTAAAATCATAGCCAGTGTGGCTATCTGTGGTATCTTCTGTGATACAAGYCCTTCCTTCTGGAAACATTAATTGTACTGAATTTTAAAGATCTTTTTGAGATYRGGGGCAAAAARTCAATGAGGACTTGGGAGAATTTCTGCTGGCCTGCAGAACGAACAGAGTTGTACAACCAGGTAGTGAATGGATGATGTACATAAGGTACCTTCCAGCACTCTTTAGGATCTAAAGAAACCATGCAAGAAGATTCAGTGAAGATACCAGTGTTCTGCATAGTGTGGTAAGAATCAATGCAAAATCTTCAGTTTAATACAAGCTGCCCTTCATTCCTTCAGAGTGGAACAGTGCCAACTCCAACCCTTCTCCCCACTCCAAAATCCCCTAACTCTTCTGGGCCTAATTTCAGGTTGCAATTCTAGCAGTTTGTTAACATCTGTACACAAGCCCTCTAYATGCTTCTGCATCTTGTTACACTGAGCAATTTTACTGCATTGTTGCCATRTGCTTTCTAATTACAGTGAATTCTGTTTCATGTGTATGATGAACAACGTAGTAACAAAATAATTTCAACTAATCACATAATTACTGGGCAGTTTTGAAGTAGCTATTTGGCATTTGGCACGTCCTAATTTTTCCGCACCATGTGCTTGCTGGAAAATAGCAAAAACAGCACAGCTTAGCACTGAGCATTTTTAGCTACTGTAGCAAAACTCTGGCTGTGCTTTTGTTCACACAGCTTGCATTTGGGAAATGTAAAAGAAATAATTTCTGTCTTTCAAAGCATTGAAAATAAATGGCAAATACTAACAGTTACGATAAAAAAAATCCCCTTTATTGTGCCTGAAATCCTGGAAATGCACATATATGTATGGATTAAGTTTTTGTGAAGGATATATGTATGGATTAAGTTTTTTAAGGATTGCACAAAGTCATTAATCAAAGTTCTATTAGCAGTGCTCCAGGCAGATGTTATCTTTTTTTTTTTGCACAGCACCTCTACAACTGAGACATGGAACAGCAGTGATTACAATATGAGATTCTGTGATATTGATGTGTTTTCACTTTAAAAATTTTTCCAGAACCACCTTAGGATGATTCAAACTATCATCCTGAGGCAGAAGTTCCAAGAGCTAGTCAGGTTTTGTTYATTGACATCTTTGTGAGGTGTGAGAAGGGAAATGGTCCAAGAGGAGTAGGTTTTAACTAATACAACAGTTCCCAGATAATCAGGTTATCAGCCACGTGGATACTTGATTGAAAGAAACTTATGGAAACACTTAAATTTAAAATGCAAGTGGGAAATTGGACATTTTTTAAATTCACCAATCAGGCACTTGGAAATCCAYCAGGTGTCATTCTGGAATGATGCTAACCTCTCAAAATGCTGGCTTACTTTCCAAAATAGCTTAAGAAGACTATCAAAAGGTGATGAGAAATGTAGGTGCAGAGCTGCTAACAGCTATGATTTGGCAATCAGCTTCCTAGAATGGCAGTAAATGGCAAAATTACCTCTGTTTTCTTTCTCTTCAGAATTAGAGTATATAAACTGAATATTTCTCAGGAGAACAGAAAGTCATGATGTTTATTTTTGGTTTAAAAAACCAATGCAGTAGACTTCAATGGCTTAGCTAAGGGRACGACTGTGTCTGTTACCAGAGCTCACTTTGTTATGGCAGGAACTGAAATGTCTTTCACAGTTTTAGGAGAAGATAGRCAGTCCCCTGTAGGCAACTTCAGAAAAACTGGAATTTTATTTTCTCAAAAACTATCTGGCAGCTGGTAGGTGCTAACAGTTCATTGGAGCAACAGATAATGATAAAGAAATCCTCTATGAAGTCTTTACAAATACTTTCTGATGTTATAAGGATGGATGGCATGACATACAACGAATTTCTCCTCTTATTAGTTGCTATTTTAAGATTCAGCATTACTGAAAGCATTGWTAAATTTCCCTAAGTGACTTGGGGACAAAATTTCCTTTTATTACTGACTGCCATTTTAGACAGGGACATAGAAGTCTTAGAGACACAGGAATAATTCAGTAGCTGGGTATTCAAAATTGTGGCTGTAATGAAATCAAAACAGAAAAAAATGGGATCTGGCTTCTAGCTGCAAAGGCTTGTCATAGATAAATCAGTCATTCTGCACCTAGCTGACTGTTAACAAGACAGGAGGCCTTGCCTTCATTGTTGGTAGCTCAGCCTCAGTTCAGGTTTCCCCCCTTCCTTGCTACTGGCTTGTCTTTATAACAAGACTCATGTAAATACAAAACAAAGAAATAGTTCTGCTTTTTCTTCTGTCCACAGCCAAATAATATGTATATTAACAATGCTTACAAACAGAATGGACCACTCACATGCACTGAAGTGCTGCCCTCCTTGCTAGAGTCACTCAGCAGCTGCTACAGTCTTGTTCCCTCAACAGAAATTCCATACATCCTCAAACAAACATCAACAAATGGCAGAATCTTGGGCTCAGTCCAGTAAAGATCTGCAAGTCTGTTGCAGCCAGTAAAGAGGCTGTGGGGCTTATGCATGAGGTAGCAAAAAATTRTAGAAACATATATATCTTTTAATGACTACAAGATGGTTGTTTTGAAGCTTGACAATATTTGTGACTAATACGAATCTTTTAAAATAAGGCTTTAGAATATTCCTTTCATTTAAATGAACACTGTAATTGCCTTCAACCCTTTTGCTATTTTCATGTCTCATACATCCATGCAGCGTTGCCACTGAATTGCCACACTTCTTCAACCATGATGTCTTTGTACCTTGGAGAGAGGAAAAAAAATATTAAAACCAGACTTTAATGATGCAACCCATTTTTATGATAAAGTTTATGAAACAATTTTAATGAATCTCTGCTTGCCTGATACACAGAAACACAACATTAACTTAAACTTGTGCATATAGGTTTTTTGTTTCCTTAAGGAAATGTGMCATTTTGATCAATATATGATGCAGCACTGTCTGACTGATCAACAATATATATTTTCYAGACTAAAAATACACTAACTCCATGCAGGACATATTTATGAAAACATTTAAATCAAAATTATTTCTGTCTTTGGGTCACATTTTGGAAATCCATATTGCAAACATTACAGTCTTATTGATGTAGGATGTGCAGTTTCATACTTTAATAATATGTTTAATAATATGCATTTCTTTGTTTCAATTGCTGAAACACATCTACCCCATCTCTCAATTCTGCTGGCACTAGAAACGTGTCTAAATGCACTGAAATTAAAAGATAAGAAACACCATATATGATGCAAGAAGAACAGAATGCTTTTACATCAGACATAAAAAAAAGTTAGTTTAACAAAATATTTAACTAAATTACTTCAGTGAGTGAGTGTCAGCACTCAAGCAAGGCAAACCAATAGAAAATTGCATGACAAAACAGAGAAATGGTCATCATTCCCTATGATACAAAAAAGTAAAGTTATTCCCAAGTTACACTTGGGGATAAGTCACATTTGTATAAAAAAAGGATGAACTGACTGGCAATGTAGTTAGTTGGGAAAAGATCAGGGCTTTACTTGATGCAAGCTGAGAAAGTCAGCTAAAATGGGGCCAGATGCTGAAAAAGAAAACAGTGGTTGTGAAGAGGATAGTTATCAATTCCTACTGCAYGACAAGAGACAATCAGCTTAATCTGAAACAAAGGAAGTTTTGTGTTCAGTGTTGAAAACAAATCTGTAAGTATGAGAAATTAAAAATTACTGGAATAGCTCTTAGGAATTTCATTAATTTTCCCTTGCTGCAGAACGAAAGGAAGCAATGAGACAAAATACACATTTGGCATATATCATGCTGYTTCATTGGACAAGGGTGGAATAGTTAGTTGACTCCCAAATCACTGTATTGTGATGGTGTCTTGACTCAACACGTACCTGAATTTTCTTCCCACAGAGGACTCCAGTATAACCTGGACGACAAGAACACATGTTGGGCAGTACACACTTGCCTCCAAACAGACACTTCTGGTYGCACACAGCTGAAACAGGAGAGGTACATATGTGGCTTTATTCGTGGACACACATTGGTGAAGGAAAAGTGGATGCTAACTCTCGATACTTATATATATATGTTTTCTTAGAGGAACTTGGAAGGTATTTTCACAGAGAAACACCCCTCAGTGTAAGGAGACTTAAAGGCCATGTAGAGCCAACAATGTTCTTACATCCATCCCATCCCCTTTTTGCTTTGATGCAGATGTAACATGAGAATGTAGCAAGGTTATGAAAAAGACTGAGCAAAGAACAAGAGTAAGGTGCTTTTTAGCACATCTGACTATTTCAAGCTACTGCAGTGRCCTCTGAGGGCTTGCAGCAGCAACAGCACTAGAGCAAGGCAACACATACTGCCATGGTCCCAGAGTGCCATCAGATCCTGGAGGGCTTCAGAAGGGGCAGAGCAAGCTCTACTCTTTATTCTGCCTTTGATGCAGACGTGGCTAAACTACAGCCAGGGTATGGGACTTCTGTGCGCTGCGTGTGGCTGAAGCGTTCTGAACTGGGCTGAAGGAAGAGGTCTGAGGTCACATCGTTCTTACGTGTTTGACACTGGATGCCTTCCCACTGTGGGGGACAGTGACAGGTACTCGGTCCAATACACTCCCCACCATTCTTACATTCCTGAAGACAGATTGCTGCACAAATATCATAACAAAACTTGGTTATATCCCATGTAGTTACATTGAGTTATTATTCACATTTCAGGATGCCCACAGGAGGGGGARTGCTTTTCATACACAAGAATCACATCATCCTCACTCAAATTACCATCTAAAACCAAAAGGATATTAAGAAGAGAGGCAACTAGAAACAAGAAGCCCTACAATCAAAACCCATATTGAGATATTTTGATGCATCACAGATTGCTACAAAACCCTGAAATACTGAATTAAATCAGCACCACTAAAGAGCTTTTTTCCAAATTTACCTTTCTAAAGCACATCTTGGTGAGAGATCKTTTGTGTCATGCAACTGATGAATCAGCTGATAAATATTTGATCCAATATTTGTTTATGAGACATTTGTCTGCACATTTGTCCCTGCTTATTAAGCTATGATCTATCCCACCATTATTTCCATTCATTTTTAGCTGACTATTTGATAATGAAATCTCTCTTCCACAGTGTTCAAGAATATCTCACCCCTGTACATACTGGTAGTATTTTTTAAAAAACAAAACAACCCCTTTCCAATAATTACAGAAAGTAATACAGGGAAATTTATTTTCCTCCATGCCACTAGATAGCTCATTGCCCACATCAGTTCTCAAACCTAGGATGGATACTATGACAGCCACTAACACTTAAGCTATGGGATTTCTACCAACCATCCTCATGCTGATTTTCATGCAGACTGTGCTATTATCCATGCTGACAACATTTATTTATGCACTATCAATRTCTCTATTAAGATATGTGACCCAGAGATGTGCAACCATTACAGTCCTATTTCTACCTGTCCTAAAGAGCTTGTGCCCATTGCACCTTTTATTCCCATCACTTCCAGCTGTTTCCAGTTTTCCAGTCTTTCACTGAACTTCTTTTTCTATTATATCTAGTTTTATATCCTAGAGCACAAGTTGTGTTTCTTCCACTTTTTTGACTCATCTCTTTGCAGAAATGCTGATGTCTCTTATTTAGACAAGAATTCAAAAAGAAACAAATAATATTTGCTATACGAGAATTTAACAGTTATTTTGGTCTCATGATTCAGCCTAAGAACTGCATGGTATTAATTCTCCATCCTAAATTTGGGTGCCACAATACTGACCACTATTTTTTCGATGTGTATATGTGTATATATTCTTAAGTTCTTTGGCCCTAGCTATGTATTACCTGAGTGGACAGAGTTGCCCTGAGTCATACATTATTTTAAGGTATGATTCTCCTGGTAACTGCAAGGTACTTACGAGTGTTGCATCTTTTCCCTCTCCATCCTGAAGGACAAGAGCAAACGTTTGGGCCTACACATCTGCCTCCATTCATACACCTTGGCTCACAGATACCTTAAAATCAAGAATATCTGCTGTTTAATACATTCCACTGATTACAGTGTAATCTGTTGGTTGTTTTTGGATCACAGAAAGATTTTAACACTGGCTTACTTTTTTCACATCTTCTGCCTGTGTACCCATCAGGACAAGTGCAGACATTATTTCTCATGCAATGACCACCATTCTTACAAGGTGGTCTGCAGACAGCTAAAAGATACAAAGGAAAAAGCTGTAATTTGCACTTTGTCTGACTTAGTGATAAACTTATAGGAAATAAGAGTGCAACACTAAGATTCTGACAGCTTGTATGGACATTCAGCACTATCAGGCCTACCTTGTAAAAATCATATAAATGATTTTTAAATATAAATCATATTGGTTCAAACATCAATARTAAAGACAAATTCAGATAGAAAGGGGTCAAGGATGGCAACTGTATGTGTACATGAGTATCCAGACCACACATAACATACAATAGAACTGGTTGGAAGCTGCTTAAATGTTGAATGGAATACTAGACTAATTTTGAGTCTTCATTCTCCTTGGACAGTTGTTGAATCAGCCAGAAAATCTAAAAAATAATGTAATCTCTGTTTTGCACCACTTCTCAGGTGCAAGACTTAATTGTTAATTTTGTGTCTTAATGTTTTCTCACRGATTTCCTCATAATGGCAACTAAGGAGTAGGGAAAATAAAAAAAGAAAATGTTACCATTCTGACAGCGGGCACCAAAGAATCCATGTGGACACAGGCAAACATCTGGCTTAGTACAGGAGCCACCATTGAGACACACAGGATTACACATTGCTGCAGAAACAGGGTCAGGAATAGTGGGAAGCATGACATCCAAAAAAAGTCTGAAAAATATGTTGTCTCTTTCAAGGAATCAAACAACTAAGATAACTGCAAGTAACATCATTTCCACAGAATTTTTATCCCAAATTAATGGATCACTATGACTTCCCAGAGGTGCTTCTGGATGACATGCAGAGACACAAGGGAGTGTAGGGGTTCTGCAGCAGTGAGCATCTGCCCATTGCTGCCACCTGAGCCACACAGTTCCAAATTTTGAACTCTGGGGGGTCCAATGGACACTCTCCCAGGAACATGGAAGTTGCAGGAGTGTTACCTGTACTGCAGGTAGGTCCGTACCACCCAGGTTTACACTGGCAGRTGTCAGGAGTGAGACATTCACCACCATTTTCACAGTGTCTGCTGCAAACCACTGCCATCCAAGAAGTTGGGCAAAAACATCAGAGAAGGCAGAGAAGGAGACAGGGAGAGTGGGAGAACATGAAAATGATAAGTTACAAATTATGCTTCACTTGTTTTTCAGTTCTTTCCMAAAAAWTAACACTGGGAATAACATACAATTCCACTAGCCAAAGAGGAATTGCTGAACAGAATAATCCAGTCTCAAACCCATAACAGCTAACACCGAATGGTAAAGGTAAATAAAATGTCTTTTCAAGCAAATAGCCATTAAAAAATCTAAACCAAATGGGAAAGGCAATACTAATAGACCAATGGACCATGTTACATGGTGCAAGTGAAGCTGCATGCACACAGTGACACAAGATGACAAAGATATTAAAATATCATGGCTGGGGAAAACCAGCCATGAATCACTTATTCAGGAAAGCATCTCATTCTCTTTAGTACTGCTTCACAAAGAGCAGCTTCTTTTTGTTGCAATTGAAACTAGAACAAGGAAAACTGAAAACCCAAAGTCCTGGGATCTGGAGAGGAGACAAATGTAGGACTTTCTGAATTCAGGGTCAATAATGCAATGGTGAATTCACATTCAGGTGAATYATATATAAGCAGCATGTCTACATTTGGACTCTTGGAAGGATAAAAATTACCTGTATAAAATTTACCCAAAATTTGGAGTTGCCAAATTGCTGCAAGTACAATTTGAAATACAAAAGCCAATTTATGTGAGATGAAGTAATTCCCATCTTTCAGCTATGATCACAGCAAATTKTTCAATTTTCAGGCCAGGTAAAAAGAAAAAGACATCATACTGTGGCTCTGAATTCAATTTTCCCATATCCCAGTCTTTCTGACACACCATTCACTGACACCAACTTCTGAATGTACCCCAGTATCTAGCCAGTCTGAGCTGATAGAATTTAAAAAGCTTCCAGGAAAAATGAAACATCTGTGGTTTTAGTATCACACAATGTACTCAATTTTTCCCTGCTTGAGAATCATAARTAATAAACTATTTGCAACTTTTATRGTGCATTATGTTTTCAAAGTTATGTGCAAATATTACCTGATGTACAAAAAGCCCAAGACTCTTCAAAGAGGCACAGGTATTATGTCATTTGCTAGCATTAGAGAGAAAGCATGAAAAATTTAAACCCCAATTTGCTTTCTTTCTCCTGAAGAACAGGAAAAACGCTATTTTTCTCTTATCTCTTTTGCTTACTTGTATCGCATCTTGGTCCCACAAAACCATACGGGCAGGTGCAGAGGTTTCTGGCCAAGCATGTGCCTCCATTTTGACACGGTGGTTTACAGTGTGCTGCAGATACAGAATTATGTTGTTCATGAAATCACCTCTAGAAAGATTCATGGACTGGTTATGCTTTATAGAAAAGGAAATGTTAATAACTGACAGTGAGCAAAAAATAACTGGAAATAAAGGAAATACGTGCAATGCCTTTTGACAAGGGCAAGTGATTTCAGTAGCAGTATGAAGTCCCAACTGCAATGGTCACCCTGAAGAAAAGAAAGCTGACACAATTTCCAGACAATGCTTCCCACTCTTCAGAAGTGTTTAGCTTAGAGGCAACTGCATTCACTGATGAACTGCTCTACTTACTAAAAGCTAATTTTAGGAATATCCAATCATAAGCAATATTTACCATGTATATCAAAAAAATCAGGATCTATACCAATATGTAACTCAAGAGTTCTGTTAAAGTGACAATAAAATGAACACACCTTTTTGCTGTCAGACGAACAGTCATGGGAGTTGCTCACAGCATCCTTTGGGTAGRTATGGATTTAAAAGCAAAAGCTACTATATTTACCTTCCTCGCAAGTGGAGCCACTGTATCCTGGCAAACACTCACAGACGTTGGGCTTTGTGCACTTGCCATGGTTCTTGCAATCAGGTCTGCATACAGCTGTACAAAAAAAAAATCTGCAGCACTCTGGAAATCACTAATTTGTGCATTTAAGTTACCACAGGCAAAATTAACATGCCATACTCACCAGCCAGACAGTTATAACCAGYGTAACCAGGCTTGCATTTACAAATATTGGGTGCCACACACTCCATATTTTTGCCACATGGTTGTCTACACCTTGCTGAAAGGCAATTAAGAAAGCAAAGAAAGGAGTAAGGGAAATTAAAGTGCCATTTCAGCACAATGTGTCTCATCTCATGTCGTGAACAAATCACAGAATCCACTATATCCCTACCCATAAATGGGGAGTCCCAGACACATCAGAAAAGTATTTTTAAGTACAGCCAAAGAACTAAAAGCCTGGAGGCTATGCCAATATTAATAATGAAAGTGAGAAAATTCAATACACCACACTTTCCACTGATTATACAGTAAMAATATACTTTCAAGTTACAAAGACATCTCAATATTCTTTTCTTCAAAGCATTTATGTGCAGTTATTTGTAATACCTCTGCAAGTGAAGCCATCTCCGTAATAACCGTAAGGACAACGACCACACTTGGCGCTTCCATCCTGACTTGGCTCACAGGATACGCCAGGAAAACAGGGTAAATCAGAACAGGTCACTGCTTTAGGAATCACTGTTTCACTCAGTTGTTCAGGAAGCATTTTTGGTGGGACGGTGGCTTCAGCAAGGGCAAAAGGTAAATGACTCAGTTTATGYTTAGCTAACAGGTGCAGAACTCTCTGAGCATTTCCACCTTTGAATGCTTTGTTTGGGAAAGAATGTCCTTTGCTTACACCTGCTCTGCTGCTAGGGGAAGTCTGCCTGCTGGTCTCAAAATAGCTGGAGGTCTCAAAATAGCTGGAGGCCTCAGCTTGTGCCCTTGTTTTCTTCTCAGATGATACAGCATGGCTGCTTGAAGACACAGTCATTACAGCATGTACTGAAGAACTGTTTTCTGTGTCAGCAATGTGACCACTGATGGTGCTCAGAGCATTAGCAATGTTTCCAGTAACCACAGGTTGTACAAAAGCACTGCTCTGAGAAGCAGGTGCCTTCCAGGCAGTGATTGCTTTTGCTGTGGAGGCTGGTGGCTTGCTGCTACTGACCATTTCTGGAGAAATAAATCTCTTTGGGACATCTGTTGAACTGGGAATATAACTTGATGTGCTTAAAACCTTCTCAAAGGATGATGGCTGAAAACCTGCAGTATGTTAAAAGAAAGCGGGGAGAAATATGTGAATACCATCAGACTCTTCCTTTTGAGGGAGGGCAATATTTTCTGAACAGATAAACATACAGCCCACTCATTCTGTGCTTCAGGAAGTCTCTCCTTGTGCTATRTGAGAATGTAAGTACACAGTAGAACCCACTGACAGAATTAGAGAAGATCAAGGTATTCTGACTATGACTTTTCTCATGGCCTTTTCTTGGCTAGAAGATAAGGAGAAAGCACCATTTATATGAGGCACACAGAAGAGATTTTCCCATATTAGGTCAATAAATAAATTTACTGCCAGAGCAGATTATCAGCTCCTTACACTGCTTTCAACTAGGTAACTGAAGGAATTTAAAGAAAAGATATTGCATATGGTTCATCAGGGTGTCTAAGCACTAGAAGCAGAGATGATAAATCCACAAGTACGTAGATGCTTATACAAACTGATACAAACCATGGACAGTATTCTAGGTGAATAAGCCATCAACTTGTAGCAAAAGTATTACCATGTTTTAGTCTCCAAACTTTTAAATCAATTTTCTAAACGTTTCTACATGGGTTTTAGTAGTGGGATGTTTTGACTGTTTAATAAACATCAGAGACTGACCCAGTCTCTCACTGAAAAGAGTGCAAAATTAATGATAAGTTCTTCATATTCTGACCAGGGAAAGTGTGTGGTTTGTGGAAAGGAGTACAGCACTGTGATCCCAGACTGGTAGACTACTGCATATGCAGTGTTAGCATTATGGAGCAGAGGCATGAAACCCTAACCCATTTATAATTASAAAATGGTCTACAAAATATTAACCTTTACTGAGTCGTATTAAAGTGTGGTCTCCACTGCTGAAAAGAAAACCATTTTGCAGCTGATGAAGAATTATCCAGCACTGGCASTGCAGTGACAGAGTCTTCATTTTCCCCCAACAACAATTCAGAGATAAAGGGAAAAGACCCTCGAGAATTGCCCGCAAAGAAACCCCCAGCAGGCACAGACCTGGAAATGCCAGCACCTGCATTTACAGGGTTTAGAAATAAAGACATTCACTTGTTTTCATTCACATATCCTTCACCTTTCCTTTGAGTTAAAGGAGGAAAATGGCATTCAACATAATGCCATAAACTTTTGCTTATCTCATATAACAGATGTCCCTATCCCCATGTTACCTATTTTATGTCACTGGTTAGTCACAAAAACAAAAGGCAACCGTAAGAGTGTCATATATCACACTGTTCATAAAATGACTTGAMTGACCTAAGGGATTTGTTGATATTGACATTTCAGTCTCATTTTTTCAGATCAGAATGCAACTCCAGTAATTAATAAATTGTGTCAAACTGAAAAATAAAGTGAATAGCATAAAACTGACTGGAACCTTTATTTGCCAGCTATTTTCTTATCAGTATGTGAATCAGAAATTCCATTTTCTTCATGAAAAAATCACCTTTATTTCCTCCAACTTCTCCTGTGGAATCCTTTCTTTCAACATCARTGTCTTCAAAGCTTTCTGAAAAGATGTGAAGGCCCATTAGTAGTGCACAGAGGTAGCTACGTTTGCTTAAATTTAAATAAATTACAAACAGAATTAAAGTTTTACTACACAAAAACAACTCAAAATTCAGAAAGCATATAAAAATTGAGAAATGTTTCTTAAAAGTTTTTTAACAGAGTACTTTAAAAATACAAGTTATTCAGTAATTGTATGTAAATGAATGCTTGGAACTGCCTTGATTAGGGTAAATAGTCCTATGTTAATTAACCTAATAGAGATATATTTTTCAATAACTTATTAATAAATTTTGATATTATGAAAATTAAGAAAAATGTAAAAAATATATTTAATTGTATTCTACTCTGATGTAAAAAAATGAGAGTGTGGTTTGTATCTGTTTTTTTCTACACTGGAAAAAGTGTTTTACAGTTGTGTTGACCCAGTGCAGTCTGATGTTGCCATCAGCAGAGACACAGCCCTGCTTTGCTGAGTGCTGAAAAGAGTTCTAATTTATTGTTGGAAACATGAAGCACAATCAAAGATATTTTATCTCAATGACAATTAGACAATAGCATTGTCTGAAAATTAAATAATTTTACCATGACATGACTTCCCGTCTCCTTGCAGATTATTTGGGCATGGACCACAATAGTAAGAACCAAAAGTATTGAAGCAAAATACTCCAGGGAAGCAAGGATTSGATGCACATTCATCAACATCTTCTTGACAATTTTTACCTGTATTGAAATACAGATTTAATTTTTTTGATAATATTGTGTCACTGGACTTTGATGGTGTGTTTAAAATATGCAATGTATGCAAGTGCTGAAATAAAAAATAAATGCAATAAAGCATTTCAGCACACCTAATAAGAACAGCTAATCAGGTTTGCTTATTGCAGAACATGGAGAAGACGGGCTATGGGGACTACATGTTTATCTCAYGTATTTCTACATGTTGCTGAATTTACCTTTGCAGACAAAAACAATGGAAATTAGCTTTCATAATGAACTAAAATAAACAACCATTATAGTCATGCAAGAAAAATCCTGAAGTAAGTCATATATCTGTACCACAAGTCCATTAAATTTCTTCGTAATGTAAGTTATTTACAGTGAAAAATTAAAAAAGGAAATTGTGGATATAAAAACACCTATTCATCACTAAAAATGATAAATGCATGTAAATAAAGTAACAATTTACCTTGAAGTTCGTGTGGACATTCACAGTAATAGCTGTTTATTCCATCCACACATCTGCCAATACCACACTGGTTAAGTTTACAGTCATCAGTATTCACTTGACAGAGATCACCTTCAAATCCAGCCACACACACACAAAGATATCTTCCACTTCCAGGTGGGAAATTAATGTTTGTCACACACGAGCCATTATTTAGGCAATCACATGATTTTACACTGACCTACAAGACACGCCCAATAAGACAGTTTTCTTTTTTTTTTAATGAACTAGCAATGAGGTCTGTAAATAAGTATCTTAAGCAATTTATTAGTAGGTGTTATTTTACTGTAATATTCATTACCTCTATTTCAACCTTAGTTGTTGCATTGCAGTCATCTGTCAAAGAAAATGTTAATTTATGCAGATTCATTGACACAGCTTTCCACACAAGGAGACCTGATGGGGAAAGACTGGCACCTTCTGGACCAGAATCCAATGTGAAATGAACAGCAGAGCCTTCTGCATCTGAAGCCAAAAACTGATACACAAAGTCTTCTCCAAAAAACGTCTGTAGTGTACCCTGAGAAGTTTCAAGCACCGGAGGCYGGTTATCTGTAAGAAAGGAGGTATTTTCCTCTTTTGAGCAAAAGCTTAAATATACTTATTAAAATTAAAAGCAACGTTTCTTTCTACTACATAAAACACAGGCATTTATTTCTCTTGAATTCTAATGTCATTCGAATGGCACAGGAAAAATACTTGATATTTTCAATACGAGTGAGTGACTGCTCCAAGCAGGAATCCACCCACAGTGACAAAAAACATGGAGGGAGAAGGTGGCATAATCAGTGTCTGCTAAATCCTATCCTTTTTCTGGCATCATCCTCCTTGCAGAAGAGGCTGTGTTCCCTARCATTGGAGCGTTGCCTCTGGATTACATTCTGTTCTCATTTCTGACTTTGGCAGTGTTRAGCTCCAGTCCATAACGCGTCTCTAACATGGAAATCCCTTGACTCCCTGCTGTATGAGTTTCATTTCATTGCTTTCATTCACGACTCATCCTTTTGGAACAGGAGGCTTGGTCAGCACAAGTCTGACCTGGGACAAATTCACCAAGACAGGCACCAGAAGTCCCAATCAGACAGGACCTTTCCTAATCAAGGCAGAGTCTTGACTTCATGAGTCTTTCACGCATGAAGACACTGATGAAATGTGTGGATTTGCAATGTTATGGACTTGGGTTGGCAGGACAAGCTGGATGATTAATATTAAAGTTCTCAGAAACATTCTATTTGATGAAGGGAGCAATATGCATATCCAAAGACTCAAATCTGAACCAAAAGAGCTAARACTTCTAGGTCAGAACTTTGTACTACAGAGAAGGAAAGTGAAAAATTTAGATTTAGCTGTCCCCTTTATAGTATGGTTTCTAAGTGGACTGAAGTAAAACAGTCTTGGATACACTTTCAAGTATTTAGGCCATATACATTTGCCATCGTGCAAATGATGCACATATATTAAGTGGCTAATAAATATGACATCATTTAATTCAGTTTGTGATCYCCACTTGTTTGTTATCAGAGTAATTCATTGAAAAATACCTGKTACACCTTTAAGTTGAAGACAACCATATGTGGATGTAGCTGTGCTAAATATCAAGACTCCAAAGTGYTAATTGGACTGAAAGTTGTTAATTTTCACTAGTTATTTTTAACAGCTACTGCAGGAGAKTCAGCAAAAGAAAATTAAAATATTACATGTATGGTCTGGAAAGGAAAATATAATTTTCAGAAACTAACAGAAATGTCACACACYTACCTTGTTAAACTTTAAACATCACTATTGCCAGAAATTTAAGAACTTAGCAGACTTTCAGCTTCTAGGTATTTAAAAAGAACTATTTAGAACTTACTTTCAACAACTGACCAGGTTAATTTTGATAAGTCAGGTCTGCACACTAGGCAAGGGCTGGTTGGATTTGTGTCTCCTTCACCGTAACAGAGTCCATTTATGTTGCATGTTTTCTCCTTTCAGAGAAATGAAAATGTGATTCATTACTGTTTTTGGTTATCAAACTGGTTATGAATTTGTAAAGTGTCAAATAAAAGCTAATCATTCTGCACTTCCAGTAAACAACTAAGCTTGATTTTAAATCTAAACAACTGACAGTATGTTTGGTTTTATTTGGTTATATAAAGTGCTTTTTTTACATTTAAAATTGCCTTCTATTTCTGTGCACTGAAAATCCCTGTTGGAAACAAGAACAGGGTATGTTCTGCTAATYTGTCTAGATTTTTTTTCCTACATGAAAATATGCACATTTTCATAATAGAGAGTAGTGAAACACATACCTTTAATGTACATAACCCAGATTCTTCTGGTTCACATGCCTGGCAAGCTCCATCATATAATATCATTGTTTTAGAGTTGCTATAAACAAATCCATCATTAGAAATCTGCAAGGTGAAYGGTAAAAATGGATTAACTGATACAGGTATAAATATGTCACCCCTGTTGTCTCCTAGCATAAGCTGCCACTCATTAATAGACAACTACMTGCAGGTAATTAAACTCTCACAAGAGTCATCAGAAATCTAATCAAACCTGCCAATGAGTCTAGGCAGATTTTGACCACACGCAGATGTCTACTTTAAGGTAAATTGAATTCTATGTAGGCTCTGTTGACCTTATCAACCCCATCAGTGTGACAGCTCAGATATCTGCTCACACAGGGATTTGTACATGAGGCTGAGCTCAACTCAATTCTACCAAAGATGGATTCAAGGTCATTTGACATACTTTTGGGTAACTAYCTGTYCTTTCACTTCTACTCTTGAAGAATRTAGGACCCAGGTAGTATCTACAAGCCCCCTTAGAGGAGAACATTGTCAAATGACACTCAACACATAAGCTTAGGTRACAAAACTGAGACTCCAAGTTAAGCAAGCTGACTTCTCCCTTTAGTACCATTAAATAAAGGATAATATGTCTATGATCTATTTTCATCTTAATAGGAGTATTTGCAAGTGAATATTTGAAATTTCTGTGAGTACCTTTATTTGCCATCTGGCAATGGGGTTATCATCAACCACATCCATGACATCAGACTGCTGGACATCATTTGGTAACTGGCAGTCGACAGTCCTGGCATCTTGGAAGGCAGCTGGCATAGTTAGAGGTTCTCCAGGAATCCATTGTCTATCGATATACTGAATGTTAAGACAGAAAATTTGTTTTTCACTGAAATACGTCATGAAAACATTTTTACCAAAGAACTCCCCATGTATGGCATAGTGTTTGAACAAGTCTAATGTCTCTGGATTAGGATGCAGTGGCAAAAAATTAGGTGATATTATTTGCACACAYAGATTTTTATCTAAGCCTGCTACCGTGCAAGAATAGGCAGAGAAATCTTTCCTGACCCAGTTCCTCTGGCACTGCATGGCCAAGGACAAACAGTTCTTATAGCTGGAAAGAAACAGGAGGGTGAAGCCCTTGGTGACCCTCAAACACCACTGATCTGACGTGAAAGTGCCTCTGTTCCACTCCATCCCTGCTCCCATGTGAGGACAGGCTTCAGTCAAARGAACAGATAAGGGTTTTGGCAGGGCTCAGGAATCATTCTGGGTGCTGGGGCAATACTGGCTTTTGGCCATTTAGCCATTGTWAAAAGCAATAGATTGTTCAGTAGAACAAGGCACCATTGACCTGCAGACTATTCTTCTACAGACTATTCTTCTAAACTGCTGTGAGGACAAGGCATCTGAGGATCCATTTTAAGAGTTCAAGAAAACAGAATAAGGGTGATAATGCTTTTTGACTGAAGTTTTGATGTGGAAGTAGGGATAAATATGGAAAATTAAAAAAAATTAGATGAAGTAAGAATCCAGGCAGACTAACAATCAAGAGAATAGCAAGCAAAAAGAATTTTGAGCTTGACTAGTTTTTACTGAGCTGGCATATCTTTTTAGCTACTGGAGTCAATCAAGACATTTATTCAATCTCAATCCACACATGCAGAGTTATCAGCTCTATATTCCTTGCCTCTTTTTTTTTAACAAATAAAATAAACACTTTTGCTAAAAAGACATATGTGTTACTTCTGTTCCAACCAAACTTTTTTTTTTCTTTTAACCTATACTCAGTTAAGGAATTTACAGCAAGGATAAGTATAAAAGCYAAATATTTCTAAATATGTAATTTTGAGAGCATTTAGTACTGTGACCTTTGAAATGTGATACAGTCTACTTCTCCAGAAATCTTTTGTAACTAGCTGGAGGCTAGTTCAGCTAATTTTTTCATAAACAGTTTAACCTTTCAAAAACCAATTAAAAAGCCTTCAGATCTATAAGCATTCCAGCTCATAAGGTTCATAGAAATTGGAGCTCAATGTAAAACAGAAGGAAATAAAACCATATTTTTGTTTTGCAGAGGTTAAACACACTCTCATCCTTTACATTTAAATTCTGCACTGCTGTAATCATAGGTTCCTGGCCAAGCCTGTACCAAGTATCTACCTAAATTGGATAAGACAGCCCAGGAACAACAGATTTAACATTTCAAAAATGAAAACATTGAAAAGAAAAATAAATTCTAAATTCTATCAAAATGCCTCTTCTACAAAATGTTGATCATTTCAGTTCAATCTTAAAATATGTGCAGCTCTAMACTGTTGCAAATCCACTGACATTTCTTTAAAGTCACTATTACTCCAGCCTGAAAAACTAAACAAAACAAAACAGTACACAAACTTCCTTTCTTTTCTATTCTCAAGGTAGAAATTTGCAGCTTTCTCCTCAACTGCACCTAACAGCGGTAAAATGACTCTTGCCGGTGAGCAGATCATCACTAAAAGTGACTAATAAGGAAGTTTTTATGTTGGGAGCCAAACACAACACCACCAAGAGAGATTTCAGATTATTTTGCCATGAGTTAAAACTGAGACATTWCAAATTGTGATAAGCGAACTCCCTATAATTGTCTTACTGTGAGCTTGGTCTAAAAGTGTTTTAATCTAATGGGAGTGTAGACTTACTCTCRACAATCATTTCTAGCCCACTTGAGTGGATACATGTTGAGTTTCACAAAWATCTATAGCCAGCATTGTTTAATCCATCAAAATAATTCCAGCATCTGCTGAAAATAGCTACAGGAACCTTCTGCCACAAAATTACCATTGAATGCTTCCCCTTTTGCCAGCTCTCACTCCCTCCATCATCACACCAATGAAACACAGTTTTACTTTTAGCCTTTTTTCTCATGTCTAACATGACATAAAAACTTGAAATTCATGATCATTTGTTCCAGGCTAGAACTTGTAAATTGCTTATATATTTGCCTTGAACAATTTTAAAAGTATGAGCAACAACGCTCTCTCTACACAAATTCCCCTTAAATTGACAGTGAAACATTTTTTAATCTCCTGTTCAAACATGACATATATTATTAAATAGCCATGGTATTCTACCTCAGGGAAATGGACAACATTATCRGAAACGCCTTTATCTTTTCCTAATAGATTTATTATGTTTATAAAAGGCGATTTCAAGCATTATATTTGAGACAGAAATCTAGTAATGGCTTTAACCTTGCTGTCCTTTTTCAAAGGAGTGGTACTTCAATTCCTCTCCATAAGCACTTAAAAATACAGCGATGTACTGGCTGTTACTAATAGGGCTGCCCTTGCCCTTTTCTGATGGATAGCTGTTCTATGCTGTTATCTCCTTCCCAGCTGCTGAACATTCCCATTATGTTTTGTATTTCTCTTATCGTGRAGGAAATGGCAATCTTGCAAAGTCTTGAGTGTTTGCTGCAAAGTGCTGAGTGCCTTTGCTTTTAGCTTCCACTAAAGCACTGGGACGTACCCACATCAATGAATAATATGTTTGACATTTTGTCCCTCGTTCTCTAAGAAGTTTAAAATGTAATTGTCACTATGCAGGGAGACCTACTTGCAGCTTGATGATTTCACATTTCAGATTCAATGAGTCCCTGAAGCCATGTCCAAAAGCTCTCACTGATGTGCAGTCATACTGTCGAATATCACACAGCCCACCATTCTCCAGCTCTGTAATTTCTGGAGCCTGGTCTTGGAAGTAGAGATTAGACAATAAATGCTTGTGTGTGAACTCATTCATATGCATTTACATTATGCAATATGTTTATTTTTCTATCCAACCATGACAACGATATAAACAAAAAAATCCGGACGCAGCAGATGGGAGCATAAACAGAAAGATTTTACATTGTTAAACTGAATCTTAAATTTAAAGCTAGGCTTCTGTCTTCTCTTGGAACCTGAGTGTCATGAAGCAGAGAAAATTCAGCTGATAACAAGCACTTGTGAATACATGCTTTACTTTCTTAACTATGGTTCCTCCCCACACTTCCAGAATAAAACTGAAATTAAACTAAGGTCTTAGAAATAAGAACTGAAAAAGATATAGTTATGCAACAATTTACATAGGGATTTTTTTTGTTAAAAACGAAACAAAAATATCTCAGATGGAAGTTATTTCAGAAAATTAACTGACAGATTAGAACACGCAAAAATAGTTTTTATTAAGTAAAATCACCTTATTTTATTCCTGTTTAAGTCAAATATTTTCTTTTTATTTTCTATTGTCTTTCTCTATTTGTTCTTAAATAAGTCACTAAAAGAAAAACACCATTGCAAACAAAAATGTGAATTTATATTACAATAATTTATTTTGAAATAATCTCAACTTTTGTAGTAGTGTTCATATTTTTCCAGTGCAATTGTTTAACTGATTTTTTAGTGAATATCTTACCGTCTGAAAATGAAGAAAAACCTTCCCAGCACTATTTGCTGTAACTCTTTTTTTTTTTTCCGCCATCAATTCTACTCTGATTCCATCTAACAGTGCTTACAGAGATGTAATATCACCAAAGAGAAAAAGCCCACACAGAGCTACTAAAGAGGATCACATAAACTATACAAGTCTAGAGAAGGGATGGAAGTGGCATATTTTCCCTGAAGATAGAATGTGCACACATTGCCAATCCTTGGGGCTATGCTCTGCATTGCAAACTGACTTTTTAAATCTGACATATTAGAAACTAAGCTCTTGTTTTGTGCATGGAAAAAAGAAAATAAGCATAGCTGTAGTAAACTGGAACTTAATAACTGAGAACCCTTGCCCATGTACAAAAGCAGGAGAGAAAGACAGCAAAACAAACACACATTGCACAAACATTGAGATCATTATTGAAACAAATCTCATTTTCCCCCCACTTACCCGATRGCACGCTGCAGTCATAGGAGCTGTAGCCTTGAAAACAGGCACAGCCCCATTCTGTGCATTCCCCATTCCCATTGCAGAGACTGGGACACTTCAAAGCAGTAAGYAGGCTCTCAACCGACTCTTCAAGCTCCTGTGGGTTGTAATATATTTCTTCTAAAATTCTTTTCTCACATTCGTTCTCCAGAAGAGCTAAGGAAGCTTCTGCCCAACGGAGGTCGTCTTTCAGCAGCAAATCCTTTATGCACATATCGACAGCATCCCCTGTTCTCCGGCCAAGGAGGGCACCACAGGACCTTCCTATGCTGGAATTAGCTACTGCCTGCTGGCACAGGAACAAAGCACTAGATTCAGTGAGGCCTGAAGGTGTTGGCCAAGAAGGAAGGAATGTTTGGTCTGTGTCAGTGRCATGGTCCTCTGGGAAAAAATAGCTATATCCCTCTAAATCTGTTTGGCTGAGACTTTGGAAGAGGAATACCGGATGGTATTCGTAATAATTTTGGCGCTTCCCTCTACTGTAATGGTGAGAATTTCTCCTAATGTCTAMGTTTCCTTCTCTTTCTGTACCAATATTTCCCACTGAGGYGGCAGAGTTTACTAGTGATGCTTTGTGAAGCTTGGTTTGATTATTCTGCWTTTGCAGAAGTGTAGATGAATCCATTTCATGTACAGATGAACGTTTCTTTAAGCCTCTGACAAGATCAACAGGACCAAGATACTCAGCAGTGACATCCAGTCCTGGTATCAAGGAAAGAAATCTACCATTTTCACTTTCTTTACAAGAGAGAGGAAGCTCTGATTGAGTAATTGTCTCCAGTTTGTTTACTGGTTGATAAAATCTGGCATCTTCAAGTGCACAGTCACAGAAGACAATTTTTCTAGAAGATGTTAAAGAAGCCGGGGTTTTGTCAAACAAGCTCTCTCCTGGTAAAATTCTAGTGAAGAAAGAAAAAGATTAAACTGCATCATCTGAACTATTTTCTTTGTGTTACTGAAGTATTAACTTTTTTTTGTTCTCRTTTCATAGTTCTACAGCATAGGTCACTGAATCTGCAGCACACAGCTATATTCAAACACCAGTTAAAACAAAAAACCTCAGGAGTAACTCATAAAAGAATTGAGATCAGTGGATCTTGATATTTTGTTCCAAAGCTAATCAAACTAATCTTACATTATAGTACTTAAGTATTTATTTGGCAATTCTGTTTCAATTTTCTCTTAAATTAATTATGGAATGTAATGATGACATTCTAACATGAACTTAAAAACTTAAGGAGATCTTTTATTATATTGACAAGTTTTTAAGAGTGGGAAGGAAAGGTAGAACCAAAAATGATGAAACTTGATTTATCAACAGAAGCATTTTGTTACCTCCATTCCTTAATGAAAGCRAAGGGAACATTAGCATGGTTTGGGATTTCCATCCCACTCGCWGTGTGATAGTCATTCTCTGCACTTCCATCAAAGGTGCCACAGAGTCCCACTGTGTGTCTGTAATCTGAACTGGGGGCCCGAAGAGTTATGCTCATTCCCCATTCACTCACATCAGCACGAACGAAAGCTCCAGAAGAAAACAAAACCTAGAAATAGATTGAAGACAGCCTMATGAGAAACATGTTTTTTTAATTTACTTATTCAGTATGCAATTATTTACCACTTACTGTTACTTTTCTTCCCAGATAGGATTCAGTGATTCTGACATTGCTTCCTGTTGTGTCTCTGTTTATCACAGATAAGTGTGGCTGTGACTCATGGAGCTGACCACTGCACATGTCAAATGCAATTATATCATTTCCTTCCTTAGCAACAAAACCACAGTTGCAYGATGCTGGGTAATGAAGACTTCCACAGTCCCACTGGCGAACATGAACTTCAAAATCTCGAGATGTACTCTTATATAGAACAAATGTTCCTGTTTTAAAATTGTCATAAACTCTGGAATGAAAAGAATAGAGTGTGGCATCACTTTGAAATAACTGCATCACTACATGTCAGCAACTTTATTTTCAAACAGATTTCTAATATTTGGTGAACTTTGATATTGAAACTCATTTTCCTGAGTCAGAAAAAGAGTACAGCCCTCAAACCAAAACACAGCTTTATCCTGAGCAAACTCCATCATATTCCTCTGTGCAGCTCTAAATTAAAAAAAAAAAAAATTAAACGTATTTTTACAGCAGAAAAAAAGGACCCTGAGTGGAACATATATAAACAATGGCTGTGATGGAAACATAAGCATGAAGCTTCCGCCATTCTTTGATTGTTTTTTTTAACAAAGCATATGGAGGGTACTTCTCAACCTTTGTATTTCTACAAGAGTACACCTATGCAGCAAGAGCAATAAGATGCATAGCARTGTGCATGTGGGGGCAGCTGCTGAAAACTGCACAAGTACCCTTGACAAAATGGTTTAGAAAATCACATCCCTCTAAAAAGGTCTGCTTTATCAAGATTGAGATGCGGAGTGCTTATTCCCAATGATTATTTAAGATGAAAACCATAAATAGCAACTTGCCTTTTTTTCCTTAGGGTTAGCCATCTGTCCCCTGAAGCAAGGTTAAAATAGCCAATTTAATGATTCAGTAGCAAGAAGAACAAAAAAAGAAAAAAAAGGAAAAACAAAAAGAAACCCCCCAAACTTTTGCTGTAAGTTTAATAGCCTCTTGGCTATAAATGGCATTTGACAGTTAATTGTAGACTGGCAATTTGCTTTGTGTATAATGGGMCAGCAGACAAACTGCAGATGGCTGCACTACCGGGACTGCGTTTTAGATTGTCCGTAACTCAGTGCAGACCGTTCATTTTCTCTTTGTTTCCTTGGTTTGTAAAATAAGGTAGCAACGTAATTTATCCTTAAAAAGAAAGTTCTTTCACTGCAGCATCATGCTGCCAGACAGGTCACACTGCAGTAAAACACTGAGCAAGCTTGATCACAATGCATCCATGGTTAAAATGCCCAGTTAAGACAYCCCTGTAATTCCACTGAAGGAGAAACTGCAGAATCAGGATAACCCCATTGCCTTTCTTAGTAGTAGCAGCCACAGTTCTAYCAGGGAACCAATCAAAACTTCTATTTCCCCTTCTGTTATCACACGTGGGCTGAACATCCGTATTTGGATGCAATATCCTCTTCTTCTCACCCTGCCACTTAAAGAAATGTGCTTCTACTGAACGAAGAATATAAAACTCCCAAGTGTGGAGTTGGTGTTTGTTCAGATATCTTTTGTGAATCAGAAACACCTTGAAAGAAAGAAGCACACCCGAACCAGTGGTGGCCAAGTGTTTTCACTTCAAAAGGAGGCCAGTGATGTGCAAGTGACAGCAGCAAATAAGTTGCTTTCAATGCCACTAGGAAATACAGCAAAATGCTATGCAGACAGCAAACAGCTTCCAGTAATTTGATCCTTACAAGGACTCAGATACTGACACACACAAACAGGGAAACTACGCTGCTGTTTGGAAACCCTTTTGTATAAAAGTCTTGCCTAATCAATCATTTTATCATGGTTCATATTTAATATATGAACATTTTTTTCTTTCATAGTCAAGAGATTGCACAACTACCACTCCTTTTGTCCATTTGCTTCATTCTCTTGCCACAACCCCAAAATCTCACTTTAGAAATGTAAATATAATAAACCTCATCATGGCTGGCAAACTTTTATGAACTAAGGCACATTTATCCTTACTGTCAAAACAAATAARTAAAACAYTCAGTGCAGTTGCAGGAAACTACARTTGACTTGTAGCACCAGCAGRGATTTAGAATAAATACACAAATAAATAAATTAATAAAACACAACCCCCCCCAAAGAAAAACCCCACCAATAAAAAATMCCAACACACTCAAAATTAAGAATAGCAAGCCAGTAATTACCTTCCATCAAATGTAATTATATGAGGATCAGTAAATGAGTAGCAGTAGGCTGTGGGTAGATCCTTAACTGTAATCTTCAAAACAAAGAAACAAATGGTAAGACATGTCAGACCAGGAAATAAATGGACTCGGGTACATTATTTATCTTATGATAGTAGTTTCCATTCTAATATTATATTATACTTTTAATCAACCTGAGTAGTTACATCAATATTAAAATGTGAACAAAAATACTTAATTCAAATGAAAACACAGAATTTCAAGAAAAAATAAACCAACTAAATTCAACCACTTAGAAATCCTGGTGTAAGTCAGCAAGTCACAATTGAAATAAAAGCTTCATTAACACTAGCCAYACTTCTGGCCAGTATAGAGAGCTTAACATGATGATTTTCAACCTGTGTGCTTTCTGGAACATAGCCATTCCACAGGAAATTCCCACTGGATATAGGTTCAACTGCAATTCTGGTAATTCTGTCTCCATCCTGCATGAAGTCGGTCACAGCAGTGAAATAAATTACAGCTTGACTACAGATTCCATCATTGCAGGRTTTCTGGAGAAGATCCACATGACAAGAAGAAAGAGCCAAGTTTAAACCTAACTGCTCTTTACCTGTTTTAAAGAAAATACATAATGAATGAGTTTTTCCTCTAAATAAGCCACATTCTGCATACTAATGTTAAATAGATACTAACTTATGTACACACATTTTCACAGATTAAAATAATTATGCATTTTTCTTGGGTCTGGTTTGGTCATGCAAAAACCCTCCTCTCCACCTCTTCATACACACACCCAAAATAATGTTTGTGAAGTTCCCAGTTTGACAGACAAATGAAAACCATGACAGGCTTGCTAATGAGACAAAAGACGGTTTTCTGCATTGGCAAGGCTCSTCCTGGTTCATAGGATTTGTGCTTGAGAAAATATTACAGAAAATGGCTATAATATTAAAAAGTGAGGACTTTGTGCCTGCATACATAATACCTGTAACACAACAGGTGAACAAAATKAACTGAATTATAAACTTTACATGTATTACAGTATTCTGTCTTTTYGAGTTAAAGAATGTGGCTCTGATATGTCTACCAAAAAGCACCTGCAAACTTCAACAAGTAATTCTTTCATATTTTCAGCAGCATTATACAGACTGTGGATACTTTACATTTTAGAAAGTCTCTAATTAGTGTAAGGATTTCTCTGAAGAAGGAAACCAGCACAGTATTCATAAAAATAAATTAAATATACAAAATGCAACAAATTAGGGTAATACTTACCTTCATCAACAATATATAATGCTAGTGAGATTTTGCAGTCACTTTCTAGCTGGGTAAACTCAGGACAAGGAATAGGAATGCTACTTTCTATTGTYAGTCTGTATTCCTTCCCATCTTCTGATACATCGTATGTTTCTGGGTGTATCTAGCACAGAAGAAACTGTACTTAAAATGCAATCTTTGTGAGTAAACTGAAGCACTGCTTCCTAAACAGCCAGGAGTGCTTATTTACATAAATAAGCTGAGGAGCAGCAGCATATCGAGGAGAAGGTGCAGACACAGTAGCCAGAGTCTTGAAGAGTTGGGGAAAGGAGCAAGGATAAGGAAAAGGCAAGAGTAAAGGTTAGCTAGAAGGGTAAGGAGTCAGCAATCACATTAACAACACAAAAATTAGTAACTCGTGGAAGCAAAGATGCAAAGAGTTTTGTGTACTGTTGGGGGTAGAGGGGGAAGGAAGTGGGAAGCKACCTACAGGTAACAATTCCTAAAGAATTTGGAAGCACCATATTTCCCCTGGGACTCTTCTCTGCAAGCTTACAATAGAGACCAAAAATGTATAATCAACAATTCAATTAGAGATTGATAGATCAGTGAYGGGGGCCTACAGCTGGGCTTGGTAGGCTGGGTGTAATCCTGAATGCAGCCTCCCAGGGAAACAAAGACAACAGAYTGCTGATTTGTAGGGAACACTGCAGAACTGCACTTCTACTAGACACACCGAGGCCCTGATCCTACAGAAACAAGCTCAGGCCAAGCCAGCAGGACTATACCCAACATGCAATGACATGCAGTWCATCTTTCTGGGACTGGGATCACATTCTTGGCCAACAAAAGGGTCTCTGTAGCTATACCCACACTGGGTGCCTGGCCTTGGACCAAACATGGCACAGCACAGCTCACCTCCCAGCTTCCYCTCTAAGCCCACACCAGGCTGGCTYAGGGCTGTGCCCTCAAACTCTTTGAGCACAGTGCCAGAGCTGGCTCCAGCTGCTGGAAACTAGTGCCTGTGTGTGCAAGGTGCCAATTCAGCACTCCTGCACCTTGAGTTCGTGGGCAGCACACAAACCACTGCATCTCTCCTGCTTTTGGACAAATTTAAGCACATCTCAGCCCACAACATGCTCCATTAATTCACAGTTAATACATTTTAGGTGCCTCCTAATCAGAGGACTGACTGCCGTAGCAATACTCAAGGATTCCTACTACATTATGGTCTTACAAAGTTACCTTAATTCCAGCAAAAAATTCCTTGCTCTCAACTGAAGAGCTTTGTACATYTGGCTTCTCCATGAAAAAAGCAGAACTGCTACAGTAGACCTGTAGGGCAAAACCAGAATAGAATACATTTTTGGTATGAAATGGTCACATRAAGACAAAGCTTGGCCACCATGGTCAGTTCAATAGACTCATCATGGCCAGTCTTCTTGCGTACCAGAAGGTACCCAATGCCAGAGGAAATTGGTAAGTACACCTCACAAAGAAAAAAATAGAAAAGCCTAAGCATCCTAAGACCTTTTCTGGGCACATACTACCAGTGGTACAGAGATTTCTTCTACTAATGGCTGCATACAAATCATACTTAATGAATACCTAAAAAAATAATTTCTGGAGCATTTCTCAAARCAATGACATCTTATGAAAATGTATTCTACACTTGTTTACATGAAATACACAACTTTTTCCTCATTTCAGGTTTTTGCCTTTTAATTTTGTTTAGTGACCATTAGATCTTAGATTATGTTTTTTCTGATGTTATAGATCTGGCTAATCTTTTCCAGGATGAGGGATTCAGTGTGATTTCCCTCCACTGAACTAGTTCCATGCCACTAGATACTGTGGGCTTGCTTTGGTTTTGTGTTTGTTTTGGGGTTTGCTTTTGTTTTGCTTCATTTTGAGATGTGTTGACCACACATGCAGTTATTTCCAATCCTGAAAAGAAAAAAAGATTCACAGCAGCAGGATGTAGCTTATGATTGTGCCTTTCCTTTTGACTGCCACCAAGCCAACATTGTCAGGCAAGTCTTCACGAAGTCCCCAAATGATTTTTGAGCATTAACAACTGCTCTTGCTGTCCATAAGTGACGCAAGTAGCCTGGCTTTTCCTTGATCATACATATGCACACCAACAGCATTTTTTTTATTTTCTCCAAGAAAAAWTAACCTATATTTTTGAATATATAAATAAAAGGTTTATTGATTTTTCCAGTGCTTAGGCTTCTCAGTTACCAAGAAGCCTGTTTTCGTTCTGGTATAATGGAATGTAGGGCAGGTATTCACACAGCTTTTGATGGCAGAGATTAAAACATACAAATCCTMGACACAAAACCAGTAAGCAGCAGCTCAACCAGAGAAAAAAATATCTATCTAATGCATCAACAACACAGCTTTCCACAGCCTCTGGCTCTTACAGCCTCTCACTGAGATGCAGTTGCATTGAAAAAGCCTCTTAATTTACATTATCAAATAAAAATTTACCTCCTGGAGGCACACTGCACTGTATTGAGACAAACTGTCTCAAAACCTTAAAGGCAGTGGTAGTTATTTATATTTCTGTGGTATTTACACTTCATATGGGCAGTTGGTGTAAACAAGTAGAGGCCWTAGGCTTCTGCCAAGGAAAGTTATACAGCAAGGCGCTGGACCTCTCTCTATAAAAACTCTTAGTGTCTACTGAGCCATATTCACAAATACACAAAAAAATAATGTTTTAACTTACTCTGTCTCCAAGTCTGACATTTATCCCATCTAGTTCTAGAAGTGAGAAGGTATGAACTGTGGTTTCACGTGTAAGTTCTTCTTTGATACCATCAGGAGAAARTCTTGACCAAGTTACAATGAATCCAACAGAGCTGTTTGCAAAAGGAATGCCAAAAGTACACCTTAGGTAGATGCTGCCTTTGATCAYCTCTGCTGCAACTTCAGGAACAGATGGAAGTGGCGGTGACACAGAGGGAGATGACGTAGAAGCCAGGTTACCTGGTCAAACAGAAGTGTGGTCTGTGCTTTTTATTCTGCACAAAATCAGTATTAGATATAATGACACTGACATATCTTTCACCAGTTAATACATGAATAATATTTACCTTTTTCATATGTGAGAATATTATACAGTTACTTAAGAGAATCAAAGTAAAATCTGTATCTTCCTTCTATTAATTACTAAATGGAGAAAAAAAAAATTTATGAGCTTTTGATTATATTCCAGCCAGTAGGAAGGTGCTAAAGAGGGAAAAAAAAAAAACCAAACCAAAAATATAAACAATAAAATACAATTAATTATTTTACCAGACAGGAGAGARCAACATGCAAAGGAATGTGCCTTACAGAAGAATAATTTCACTATTTATGAAGAGAGTGGGGATAAGAAAAAGGAAAAAGAAAAAGGCTATTTAGAAAGGCAAAGTATGAGCAACAGTATGATTTGTAGATTCCTCTTTTATTTTACTSCTGAAGAATCAAAGTAATCTGTCAGTCAGCATCATTATAATTACTTTTTGACATTTTGATACTCACTCAAAACATTCTGAGAAAGAACTTTTGTAATCCAAGTTTGTCTGAAATTGCCTTGAACTGCTCATTTTGCAACAAACCAAGCAATACTGTTGATAACATGGCCATATTTTTATTCAAGACAGAATATCACTAAATATTGACATAATTGGGTCACAGATGCCCAGAAAACCTTGAAAACCAAAACAAAATACTCACTGCTACAGACACCTTGAATTTCCATTCCCTCAGGATCACAGGTCTGTGGCCTTGCATCTGAAACAACTRTAATTTTTTTTTCACATTATATATTCACATACATACAGAGTAGGCACACCAGTGCTGTTAGATTATAGACCAAATGTCACAAAGGACTAATTAAGTGCAAATTTGCAGAATAGAAGCAATCTTTTAATCTGATCCATGTGCAGCTATGACAGCAGTGAGAACAAAGCCTTGTAGAAATCATCTAGGAGGAAGGGTGTAGAACATCCCACCACCTCTACAACTTTTACTGCCGAAATGCTCAGCCAATACTTATACATGGTGCTAGTGAATAAAAAGGAATTAAACTATTCTCTTGAATATATATTTTGCCTCTGTAAATTAACATCTGAATAKTTATTCTTTAACTGTAACTCTAGACAGCAAAACTCAGTCCAGACCTGCTTTGAAAAAAAATCACATTTGCTGCAGAGGCCTAAGAAAAAGTGCCCGTGCACTACAATTGCTTTGTATTTTGAATGCTATAGAAAAATAAGTGGAACTTGGCTTAGGCATGAAAATGCTATTTAGTCACTCTACTCAAACTACATCAGAAGGGCAGCAGCAACACTGGAAATYCCATTCACCAAAAAGAATGAAAAGCAGACTTTGCTGTTCCATGCTTCAGTGATATAATGTTTGAATTCCTTAGCATGCAGAGGACAGATTGAAAATTTGCATCAGGTGTTTACAGCTATCAAAGTGTTAAAGAGAAAATACAGTACACATGGTAGCCTAGATACAAAAAGCAGTACAATKTACATCACATGACAACACCATCTTAAATGAGTGCATTTGTACTCAAAATGTGTTTCATATTTACAGCATTCAGCAGAGGCAAAGAACAGTTAGGCTTTTTGCCTGCTGTTTTGTGGCAGTAAAAATTTGCCAGATCGCTGTCTAGCTTTGGTTTTATATCTTCTTTCCTCATCATGTACCAGGATCCAAAGTAAATGCAAGTCCTGTTGTGCAGGAGTTCTTCATTGTTTCATTCACATTCTTGCTGAACCCTTGGAGAATGTCTCAACAATTGGATCTAAAGGTATAATGAGGGTCAACAAAGCACCAGAAAGCCCACTGTTAAATTTGCTATTAAGCTTTTGAAAGCAGTCACTAATACAGAATATGACGCCGAGCAACAGAGCGTATGATGCATGAAAATATTGCTATTTTTTTCACAATGACGTATTATAGGACCTAGTAAGTATTTCCTATTATACTAATTTGTCACTRTTTCACAGTGTTTACAACTGTAAGGATTTAACCATGGCTTGCTTATTTGAAAAATCTGACATGAATAGTGAAATACTGAAGTTTTGAGCTGTGAGGACCAACACTTTTGCAATACAAGAGCCCAACACAGTGGGAAACATAGCAAAAGATCTCCCGCTCTTTCTCATAGTACTAATAAAATGTGTATCAAGAGAGCATTTCTGTGTTGAATTTCCTTCTAGCAACAACATRTATACTCTCCAGAAAGATGATAAAAGTTAAAACAAAAAAACATTCCTAACAATGCTAAACAATAATTGATATAAACACAGTTTGCTCGAGTTCTTAAGACAAAATTTTTTTCTGATACATAATTCTATGCATGTTCAGGAATGGGTATTTGCGAAGTCTGAGTGACATGAATTACATGGAATTGGTACACCAAATTTTGACTTCTACATGTGTCTTACAACCTCCTTATATGGGAAATTTCAATTCTTAAATTTCTGGGCATTGAAAATTGGTCAAATGCTATGTGTAAGTTAAATGTGAAATGAATGGGTGAAATGAAGCCACCTTGTAATTTCAGATAATTTCTTCTACCGTATCAATATTAAAAATAAGGATTGCAAAAAATTTTAGCAAAACTATTTCCTGGATTTCCACTCTGCCAGATATCAGAGAGATATAGATCAGAAACACAGYATAAAAACACACACTTAGCTGAGTTAGAGCATGCATTTTCTCACCTTCTGCACAATACCCCATGCATCCTTGGGTGGGCTGCAGTAAGTAAACAAAGAAATCTCCACAGTTCCTCACCCTGACAGGGATTCGGAAAAGACAGCAGTCTTTTGAAGTGCTGAAGAAAAACTGCCATGTAGCACAGGCTGTTAACTGTTTGATCTCACCAGGCCGAGGCATGGATTCTGACTCCCTCAGAGACAACCAGACAGGGGCTTGAGTCCCACAGTGATTCATCTTCAGCACCAGAGAAAAACATCAGAAAATGGTTAATGCTACCTCAAACTGTTGCTGTGCTTTAATGAAAGGTACATATGCAATTAATTTCTCACGTGAGCTTTTAGACAAGTTCAGACCATGTAACAGAGGGATCACTGACTTTCCTTCTCAAGGTTGAATACAAATATACACAAAAAGGACTGAAGTATTTTATTGAGCCTGCTAAATTTTCAAAAGACAGGCTATAATTTAGTGCCTGAAGAACTTCACTGGAAGTCACACCTGAGTGTTTTGCTCAAAAATGCCCACAGTTGTGTTACRGCTTAGTGAGCTGCTTTGCACTATTACCCTACAGTAAGAGACTGTGTGGATGCCATCACAGCACAGCAAACCCAGTGTAGAGCAAAAGGACACYGAGTACCAACTAAAGGTGTTGAAGCTGACATTGCTTATCCATCTTTTGCCATCAGCTGAAGGCTCAGCTACCCTTCTGGAGTTCTTCTATGAGATGTGGGCAGCTAATACAAGGTTACTAAGATTTTTGAGAGCAAAAAATGCAAAATGGCTGATAAGCCCTTTCTATTTCTAACTGCCCACAGTTAGAAATAAAAATGCTTGTTGCACCTTCRCAATAATTGCAGCGACTTTGTAGCAACCCTAAATACTTTAGTATTTGCAAAGCAGAGGGCTTCACACGGTCTGTGGTTCAGGTATGGATTCAACAGGTGATTTTAGCAGGGTTTTGCTCCCTCTTTTGCAAACAAAACCATTGCTCAGTGATTTCCTTCACRGAGTAAGAAGTGTGTAGTGGAACACTCCCCCTCACCACTGTGGTCATGCCAGGCCTTCAGGTCCAGAAAGATGCCCTGAAGGCCACAACACAGCTGCAGTACCAACCATGGGAACCAAAGCAAAAGTCTGATTTGACACACACCAGTTTGCCAGCAGAACACAGGAAAATGAATTCCTGGAAGAGGAGACAAAGAAGGAATCCCATCCATGGGTTACCATAATGAGTTACAGATTGACTMCTGGCTTTTGTGTGCTGCCGAAAGCAAACTGAAAAGAAGCACCCAGGACACAGTGTGTTACAGCCAGAATTTGGAAAACATGAAAACTGTAACTCTGAAATTGTGAGAATTTGAGAACTTCTCAAAGCACACATCACCTCAAGTACTCCCTTCTTTGACCTGATAGTGCAACAAGGTGTCGGACCAGCCTGCCTTTAGACCTCTTGGGTTAAGGCTACTGCAGAGTCTCTGAGTAATTACTTATCTCAAAAGCACACTTTTCCTCCTTAATCTAGAATCACTGAGCTCACCATCAATCCACCACAAAGACAGAATTAATAAGAAATAGACAGAAATGGGATGAATTGCTCAACATTCTGAATATTTCACAAAAATTAAATATACCTATAATAAAAGTTCTCCTAAAAGAAGGAARGGAGGAAACTTCCTAATCAATACATCCATTTAGCTTGGTTTTAATGTTTTGACTTGGAGATTTCAAAATAAATGTCTTGCTTCAAGAGATGCAACAAAGCAGATACCAATGAATAAATTTCATTTGCTTAATAAGCTTTGAATCAATCTCTTTCCAACTGTTATTATTTGAGCTCCTCTGTGTTAGATAGACAGCCTATTTTTAACAATATTTGCTAAGCACTGAGAACTTCWGGGAGATTTTCTAAAGCTTTCCTAAATGAGATGAGTGGGTATTTTACTAGTCTAAGCTATGTTCTGAAAAACACACTCGTTTTTCCCTGCTTTTCCCCTGCTGATTCTTTGCATGAAAGAATCCATTTTTGAGAAAATACAACCACTTAACATTTTTTTGGTATTAAATGTAACTGAAAGAAAGTCCTCCAGGAACCATACTTCTTGGCTTTTTTTCAGTATAAAACCTGGATAACAAGTAGCTTTTGCAACACAGCCCTCTTAATCCTTGAGTCAGCTGCACATTAGGAAAAGTCACTTAAGCAGCTTTATACAGCTGTAAAGATTTAACAAACAAATTTAATTAATAAATTTAATTGATTAATTAAAAAACAGGAGAGTATGCTGTAAACTCAATTCCATTTCAGTAGCATTTTTAACTCTTTTGTATTCATTTAAAAGCAMTTAATTGATGGAATTTTAATTTTTTTTCAAGAGACTGTGACAAGGAAACTTTAATTCATTAAAAAAATCATGGGTAAAATATTCTAATKATATTTTTAGGGTTTTTAAGGAAGAAAATGTTTTAAAAAGGGGAAACTAAAAGGAAGTATCTCCTCAGAATATAACAGGGCTTCAAAACAAAGCTCCAAAATAAAGAATTACACATGTGAAGTATCAAGTAATTCTTGCGGTTTTGGAGGCTTGCAAGTGACAAGGCAATGAATCTTCAGGTAGCTCTGTTAATTCAAGTCATTTTAGGAGTAATCYCATTTCTGTGGCATGGTGACTTTAAAAGCTCCACAATTACTGGACTCACGTGGCTGCAAGTCTTTACAGTGCTTTCACATGGCCTTCCGAACACACTGACCATCACAATTCCAGCTTTACAGATGTGATATCCCTGCTATTTCTTTAGCACTGAGTGGAAATTACAGTTTTTGAGTGCTCCAAAAGGGATTTAATTTACCATCTTCTGCTATTGCCCATGCAGTATAGAATTTTCAATGCTCAAGACTTAATTTTAATATAATCAAGTATTTAGAGAAAATAGGTACTTTGTWTTGCTCCACATCAGTCTCCATAATCATACTGGGATTTTTACACCTATCCTACTGAAAAACTTTTCACCAAAACCTATTTCTCAGAATCAAATGATTTGTAACAATACCTCCACGCACTTGGTTGGCATCTCAGCAGGCTTATCAAAAATCATGAAGCGATACCATCCTGGTGTTAGGGAATGGTCACAGATTAAATCCTGAATAGCTGATTGCTGGAGGTGGGATGAATCAAAATCCACACTTCGGTAAGGGCTCTGCAGGATCTGATGTCCACCAGGAGAGCATTCAAGAACTATGGAGCAAGAGTATTTTGAGCATCAGGGTAGAACGTCTAACAAGTATTTTAGAAAAGATGTTAAGTATTTTTAAGGGAAAATAAGGATATGCCGCAATATCTTGTGAAATTATATGAAAAAATATATTGAAGTGTTAGTAACAACAACTTAGCGTGTTAGCAATCTGAAATTTAATAGAATTAATTATGTCATAACTTCCCTTATTCTAGTGGACAATAAATTCAATAATAACCCACAGACATTTACTCTGGATGCAAAACTAGTGGGAAGGAATATGTTTACACATTCTACCTGGATTTTGATTTTCTAGTTCCACTGATGTTTATCAAACCTGAATGCAAATAGGGTGTCAGATATACATGAATATAACAGTATTACCTCAAGAGGAGTAAGGATTATCCAAAGGCCTTTCCAGAATAGACAACCACTTTACAGAACTCCTAGGCATGAAATTAATAATTCCCTCAAATGGATGAGATGATATAATTGGATACTTGCATGCAGTTTGCATGTATACATGCAGAACATAGCAAACAGGTTTGTCACTATTTGTCACATATTTTGCCTGGTATAATTGTGTCACTAATTAGAAACATATTTTAGTTCAAATCATGCAGTGAGGTACTACCTTCCACGTTTTTTCATGTCACTCTAGATAACTGCAATTATAAAACAGTTTCAAATTCAGGTAATTCCCTACCTTTAAATGGAGAAGATACCCTAGTGAAAGAATAGACTTAATCTCTTTCAGCACAGTATGAGAATCCCRAAGTCTTTCAAAGACTGAAGATTTAATCTGATGCAGCTTTAGGCTAGCCAGGCAGGTAACAATAGCTTTATCTTCTATCCTCTAAGGGCAGCTGGAAGTCACTGTGATTGACTGTGCCACCACTGCCTTTCTGAGCTGCTTGTAGTAGCCTGTAGGCTATTCGTGTCCATACAATTTGACCTTACAGGCAACTTACCCTTCACTGGAATTTARAGAAAAGCCCTTGAAGAATCACAGGTCAGTCATGTGTGTTATTGAAATGTTTTCCAAGCAAGCTACAGCACAAGCAGTTTAYGAACCATGATGGAAGTTTCTTCCTGTCCTCTATTTTTCACTGGAATTCTCCCTTTCATACAGCACCCTCATTAGTTTTCTTTCCTGTAATTGAGTCACTACTGAAACAATTAATATCTGTTACCTTCTCCATTAATAAATCAAGCTAGACATGAGACAAGTCTTTATTTTCTTTTCCTCCACACTTTAATTAGATCATCGTTTGATAGATCTTTAAAACAGCTGACTGTAGTCACTTGTAATAGGGTTATAAATCCTACTAAAGATCAARTTATAAGTTTCTTATTATTATGCATATCACTTTAAAATGCCATCCAGCTCTTTATTAATCCAGTGTATTCTTTTTTCCTTTCTAGAAGTATGCTAATATTTCCATAGTTTTTGTTTGGAAATCTTATGTTGTGTTACAGTGGGTGATTTTTCCTTTTTTTTTTTTCTTTTCTGTTCTGCAAAACAACTGAAAATTATTGTCATCATCAATAACACAAATAAAACCAACATTTTTACACACCTGAGTGTAACTGAAGTTCTGTCTAACCTCAGCAACAGCAGAAACAAATAAAATTATCATATTTCTGGACAGATACACAAATACTCTGCAAAAACAGTTACACCTGCAGACCAGATCTGCTCAAACCAGATGCATTTAAGGAGTTAGCTAAATTTTCCACTAAAACCATTATTTCCTTATTCAGGACACCTTAAATAAAAATAGATTTTGATATAAGCATTCTTTCAACTATTATTCTCGGAATGGTGAATGCTGACTTTGCTGTAATGCTCCAGAAAAACTTTGCCTGTGTCTAACACCCAGCAATTTTATAGAATCATAGAGTAGTTTGGGTTGGGAGGAAACTTCCTGATKATGCCAAGCCTGACAAAATTATAAGGAACTACAAACAGGTTCTGATAGCTTGAAAGTACTAAGGAAGGCTACCTAGAGAGCTGGCTTACSTTCCAGCTCTGTGTAATGTCTCTGAGGAACAATAAAGTATGGGAAGATGTCTGTGCTACTGGTGGCTTCATCCACATCACAAAATAYTCTAACATCTTCTGACACAAAATAGAAAACTCATGCAAGTTCTAACAAAATTTAATATTTAATCAGGATTATTCTTAAAGGAAATATTTCCACATCCATAYTATTCCCAGGGGGAAATATTATTTTTATTTATTTTTTGACCTTTAAATGTATTCGTGATTTCATAAATTTAATTTTAAATATTTGCTATAGAATAATGAAATTCTAATTATAAAATATACAAATGAATACTTGAGAAGTAAGACCACGAAATTCAGGCTCCTTTGTAGATTGTGTACCTCTGTCTTCATTTAAGCTAGAGGAGATACCAGCAATAGGTTATCAACGGGTTATTAAGAGACTTGTTTCTAGAAAGTCACAACTCTCYCATTCAGTTTGGAGGTCCAGACACTACACACTGTCTGCTGAAACAAAGCAATCCATCCTGGGGAAATTTGCATGTGTTTCCCTAGAATTTGAGTTTACTGATAATATTCTGTGCATCTTTCCACAAACACCCTATAATACTGCATATACCTTTCTACTGTTCTTCAACTTGTGCCTCTGTGCACCAGGAAGTATTTGATTCCATGTTTGCTTTTTCCTGCTTTTTCCTGTCTTCAGGATTAGTGCTGTAAGCTTTGCTTTGATCCATCCCAGAACACAAGAATAGCATTGTGCTGGGGGGTGAGCCTTTTGGGAGAGATASAGACAAAATCTCTGCAAACACATTGAAGTTTCTACCACGGCTGCCATAAACTGGGTAACGTAATAGGTCCTATGAACACCTTGACCAAAAATCAAAGAGGTTTCTGAAATCAACACAGGAGCTCATTTACCTCAAAGAGATATTAGGTTGCTCCTGATGACTATCTCTGAGGCACTCAGGTGGAAAATGAGTTCCACAAAGGAAGAGCTTTTCAACTTCCTGTTCACATCTCTATTCCATCCATGTGCAAAAAGGGATCAATGATTTTGCACCTGTTTATATTTCCAGTCAGGAATTGAGGACCGCCGGGTACAAACCAGAGTAGAGAAGGGGAAAGGAGTAACAGCAGAGTACAGACAAGGGCAGAGTGGCAGCACTGGTTCCTCAGGTACAAATAGCTTCGGTGTTTAAATCTCCTGCTGCCCAAAGGCTGGGGTCTGGCAAACGACCACTGATAAAAAGTGCCTTTAGTAAGTGCCCACTGTGAGTATGAATGTGCCCTACCGACTGCAAAGAATGCAGTGTACCAACATATCAAGGGAAAAATTAGAACTATGACTGAATTTAACAAAAGTGTTCAGCTTTATTTGGGGCTTTAAATTCTTCCAAAATAATACAATAGGAAAAAAGTTCACTTTTTGGAAGAAATTATCCTGGAACAACTATATAGAGTAATACTTTTAAAAGAAAATATAAATATTACTATAACTACCAAAAAAAGACAATTTTCTTTAATGTGACCTATAAAAGAACATGAGCAAAAATGTTATAGTAATGACARTACTGCAATCCCATGAAACAAGAACACAATGACTCCTATGCACAGACCAATGAAGAAAATCGAATTAACACACACAAATTAATACATCTTTATAAATAACCTCATTTGACTGGGTGTTAAAACACTTTTCAACCCCTTATGCTCACACGCTACAGGGCGCTTTGCAAAGACAGCAAATAACCGCATAAACTTTATGAAAGTGTAAAGCATATGTTTATAGAACGTTTTTTAGTAGTTCTCAGTGCAATACRTCATTACATCAACTCCTGATGTGGATTTTCTACCCGAAATTTGAAACAATACAGACACGGGTTTTGCAGAGGTCCCAGGTAAGGATGCTCCAGCACGCAGGCGAACAGCGCCACGAAGTGAGGGTGGGAGACCCGGCACTCCGGGTCTCGGAGTTGCTCTGGGCAGGTCTTTCCCGCGAGTGCGCTGTGACAAGGACAGTTCCTACTCTGGCAGGTATCAAGTTAAGCCTCTTCCAGTGACACTTGTGACACGCAGCCTCTGCGCTGGGAGGCGGGCGGTGCGCGGGCACAGCGGAGCACCCGGCGCTGCCCCTCTGCCCCGCAGCGGCCCCCGCCCGTTCACCTGCGGCCGCCGGTGCCTGTGCCCTGTGCCCTGTGTGCCCTGTGTGCCCTGTGTGCCCCGTGTTCCCCGTGCCCGGTGCCCGTGTCCCTTACCTCGCCGGCGGGCCCCGGCCGCCGCCAGCCAGCCGAGCGCGGCCGCGCAGAGCCAGAGGCGCGGTGCTGAGGGGGCGGCCCCCGCCATGGCCCCGCTGMTCCGCTCTGCTCCGCTCCGCTCCCGGCGCTCGCTGCCGGCCGGACCGCAGCTCCCAGCGCCTCCGGCCCCTCCGTGCGCCCACCCCGCTCCTCCGCAGCCCCTCCCTCAGGGGGACTCGGCCCGCCCCCCTGCCGGACCCGGCCCGGCCCCGCCGGGGTCGCTCGGGGGTGTCTGTGCCCCGGCCCGCTTGTGCCCGGCCCGCGGTGCGATCCCTGCCCGCGGCTCCCTCACGGGGATTCTCCGCGARAGAACGGACCAAAGAGTCGTTGCTTCTTGTCGGGGGCTCTGTGAAGATGCTTTTCCACGTCCCTAAAAGACCCAAAGCAGGTCGGCATCGTTAGCATTGCCTTATTGCCCTCTAAAGCAGAATTTTATTTATGTTCTAATGTATAGTAAAACGCTGAAGAAGAGCCGGCTTCAAATTGTCCCTTCGATAGATCACCAAGAGTGTTTTACATTTCTTTAACCTTTAGTATATGTAACCTTCATTACCACTAATGCAGACTGAGTTTAGCGAATATTTAACACTTCCAAGAGTTTCAAGACTTGCTTCTCTTCAGAGGTGTCTGCCAGAGGACAAATCTCAGCATTTAAGATTTGTCAGTGCTGGTATTTTCCATTGTAGGCCTGAGGTAGTGCAGCTATTGAACTACTTCGCACACATCAAACAGTACAGCAGGCCACCGAAATGTTTCACATTCTCTGTAGCATGTGTAGGCCTAAATCTAAAAAATAAARGTTGATGACACTAAAACACAGCTTATTGCTGTCCACTGAATGTCTGCCCTGCTACGATGGTCAGTGAGGACTGCTTCCATGGGGTACTGACCTGGGTGGCTCTTTGCAGAGCATGTTTCCCTGCAGGGAGAGGTATCAGGGCTTGGAGTCAAGGCAGAGGCACAGCAGCATWGTGGGGGTAACCTCAGTCCTCTTTTGCTCACATACCCTGAGATTCTTCASTGCAAGAAACAGTTCAGCTCCATGATGTCAGCGAGTTTTTAAAAAGAAGCCCTGCCACGGCCTGAGAGTTGAAATCTGGTGTCTTGGATTACTKTCAGTTCTCTAAGACATATACTTTTGTCACAAGGATTCAGGGAAATTTTAACGAGTTTTCTTAATTGTTTACCCAATTCTCTGGATTATTTGTTAGCAGATATGATAAACTTTATTCTGAAAAGCTGCATATATATTAAATTAGTTCAAGTTTTGTTTTTAATTTTTCCCAAACCACATGTTTATGAAGAAGACAAGAGGAAAGAGGTATTTTACAAAATAAGTTACAAARTCAGGACCTAGAAAGAGAGACGTGAGAAGTTTTGACAAAATTTAAACACTGAGCTACTTCTTTGACCCCCACTAGTCATGATGGAGTGGTATTTGCAGGAGGATTAACGCCTTTCGTCATGGATCATTCAGGGGATTGAAAGAGGTGGCAGTARTGGCTGCTGGAGTACATGCACCTTTAATCTTCTCTAGACTGGTTTTCCTCTGCCAGCTCCCTCTGTTACTATCAGCCTTGTAGCCTCTCACAGTGACAGAAGAGAAAGAGCATATTGTGGCTWAAAGAGCTGACAACTTGCCAAAAGTAATACTCTGCACTCATGGTGACAGAGGTATGTCAGTGACAGTGAATTTATGAAAAATTGAAGCAATTCTAAGGCAGTCTCATGCTTATAATGGGCTTTCCAGCAGGTTGAATTTCAGAAAGTTTTTGTCCCTAATTTCCATAGTTTTAATAAAATAAATCATAGGCTATGTAAAATAGGCTTGCACTACTGAGAATACCTCTTTCATTTACAATGGAATATGAAATYGAACTGCAGTTTTGTTTGTGTGAATTATTAAATAGCAGGATGTCATGGAGGAGAACCAAGATTGTCGAATGAAGAATTTAAGATGCTATAAATGGTTATGTAGTCCAAGTCATTACTGTTACAAACAATATAAAATTCAACTGAAAACATGGTACAGGGAGTGATGATATCAATTCTAGGGAGCATTTAGATATTGCAGCACAAAGCAGCATTTCCCAAAGTGGGTTTTATGATTAACAATGAAGAGASATTTAAGTTTGGTTGTGAAAATATTCCAAAGCTAATTTAGAGTTYAGTAATCTCAGCCTGTTCGGTAAAGCTTTTAAATATATATTTACTTTAAGGTGGACCCTAAAGTTCTGTCTACAAATAAATTAAATTAATTTTTTGAACAAAGCCTGAGCAGAAGTGCTTTTGCTGACTCAGGACATAAGGGAGGGAAGASCATAGTGATAAATCAAAGAAAAAAGACGTGTGGGATGACAAGGAGCATGACTCGGGGAATGCTGAAAATAGACTTGAAAAATCCAGATAACAAAGAGGTGGCTCTGCTGCTGCTAAATTCTTGGATCTGCAACCAGATTGCTCTGGTTTAATGGTTATCTGCATAAGTTCATGATTGTGCAGCTCTGACATGAGTGTGTGGGTAACAGGAATCCCAGAAAAAAAAGGTCAAAGGGAAAAAAGGGACTTTTCACATAAACACAGCCAACAGCAGCTTCGTCATCTGACACTTCCATTGCTAACATGCCAGTGGGATGTTTGTAGCAGTGCACCTTAGATCATTAACCTAATGTATACAAAATATGTATCTTACACAATATTTAACAAGATGTCATTATCTCACATTGCATTTGGGGAACAGTCCAGAGTGAGCAGCCAGCAAGTGGATAGCAGGTTGATTAAAGAGAATTTTAGATAACTAAGTTAAGAAGAACAGTGTTTGCCAAAATGTGTGCAAACTGGTGTGCATAGCTGCTCAGGTGTAAACTGGAAATTAAAAATCACTCTTGAGTTTTAAAAYCAGTTGTCTCCAGACAAAGCCACAAACCCTTTTTCTAGTTGTATCCAAATCTTCAGCTCTAAGGTAAGTAAGAGAATTACATACAAAAAAGGCAGTACTTGTGATAAGCTCCTTGGAATAGCAAGTAGTTGTGAATGGTAGGGCACAAGAGACGGGAAGCAGAGGCTGAGAGCTGAAGGCAGCTGGGTAGGTGAATGCTGTCCTGAACAAGGAATCCCTAKCTCTGACACTTAGAAGTTCTCAGCTATGTTTTGTAAATTCAGGTAAACATTTAGAGAAGAATCTGGTTAAGCTGAAGCTAAAATTSCCCACTATATCTAATTAATTGTAAGCCTTTTCTTTACAGCTGTGTAGCTAAGAGTACACATGGAAGTCTTTTTAAAGGAATCATTCGTGCTGAGCTTGTCTGTATTGTAAGGTAAGGTAAATCTSAATAAGCCCTTTAAATCTATGTTGCTGTATTTGTTATCTGTGCAAAGACAGAGCATGGATGATAACTCCAAATAAAGCTGTGAGCAGAACTTGGAAGCTGTGAGAAATTTCCCTGCAATCTTCAAAGGGTTATTGCAGTATTGCCAAGTGCTGAATGTTTGGAAAGAGCTGCCTTCAGCAGATAACACTCCTTCTGGAAGAAGCAGATGGCTGAGAGATAGCCTGCAGCCCTAGGCAGATCCAAAAGTATCAGAGAAGTTCTCTTTCATTTGCCCCTTAATATTTTTAGTTCTTTCTCTGTGTAAAAATAATTTCTTTTTGGTTGTGCCTGTTCATATATGTCAATGGTAAGTGAACTCAACCGTTCCAAAGCAATAAATTGTTAACATTCTTTGTCTAATCAATTCTGYCCTTAAAGTCAAATTCCAGTCTTCCCTTCAAATTGTAGGTTGTGTGACTTTTAACTTAGCTAAGGTTCATTTGATTTAAAAACATGGTTTAACAGCTCTGAAACTAATGTCCTGAAACATCTCTAAAATGTAGGAAGACACACTAAGACATATTGCTGGTTCCAGTTCAGAATGAGATATTTAATTCTATTCCCCTTCCCTATCTTTGACACCAAATAAATAGAGACAGAGAATCAGTAATAGTCATGTGCATTTATTTATTTTGGTCATTCTGTGGCTAACATTACAGCATCACAAGAGGTTAACTTCACTAATGTTTATTCTGCTGGCGGCTTTTTTAGAAAACTGAGGGGCTTTTGAGTGACATTTGTTTTCCAAAATGCTTTTAAAATTTGTAGAGGTTATTTTTAAAACTACCGTGTAAAGGTACTCAGCACTGACAGTCTGTTTAGCTTTCTGAAGTAATGACACCTTTAGTATGTTTTAGCCCCTAATACTCTTTTATATTTGGCCTCTTGTATATACTATACTTGACTTATGCAGTAAAGGACTTCAGTTTAAATGTCTAATGTAATTTGGGTTTGATAAGCAGTATAAATGTTAATGTAAATCAGAGGAAATCTGTCTCCAGGGGTTATTAAGAGTCAAATAAAGTCAGTGTTAGGCTTTCCATTAACTTCAATCCTCTTTGGATCAACCCCTTACTCTTTTATGGTTCTCAAGTGTTTTTATATTCTTAATTTGTGGTCTATCAGCTGTATTTACTCAGAATGTGCCAGAATATTTTGATGTCTGAGAAGTCCTTTGGCTAACAGAATATTAAAGAAATAATCTTTGTTTCATGTATACTGAACTGTGGCACAGACGTGTAATTACACTGGTAAGTTGAATATTATACAATTCTTAACTACTATTTCTTCTCTTTCTGCCTCCAGGCAGTTTGTTTTTGTATATGTACAGCTCACAAAGTAGCATTTTTTAAAATTTAGGACACTATAGAATTCACTCTTTATCCTATATAGAATAAATGCTACTTGAGTAAGGTGCAAAACATTGATCTTATAGTTAATGGTGTTCTTACTCAGTCTTACTGGCTTTCACCTATTTGATCTTGTACTACTCTTTTTTATATTAGTGAAATTTAAAGTAATGTTACTGGTTAAAAGTCTTAACTAAGCTATGTGGTCTTCTAAGWTGCAGATGAGAAAAAATATTCCTAAAATATATGACCTATGCAGATAATAAAAAAAAAAATAGAATATTTTTCTCAAATTCTTGAATTACCTTTGTTGATATCAAAGGCATTGT